TCGAGTTGCCAATGCCCGTGGCCAGGTGGACCAAGCTCACGGACCTTAGTACCCACAGCGCGTCGACCGACAACGAGACGAATGTGGGAGCCGGCAGCGAGATCAGCGGTGCAATTGAAATTTACGACGACGGGAACGTTCTGCTCTCCTTCGGCGGGGGTATAACCTAAGACGTGCAAAATGCCAATGGAAGAGGAAGGAACGCTCGGGTATGAGCCGGGAGGCACTATAACGCTGTGACGTCCGACTGTCGGACTGTTGAGGACATGGGCCTCGCCACCGCTGGAAGCTTCTTGAGTGTCTTTAGACTGGATGCCGTATGCCGGCATGGACTGTGTAGTCATTCCTACTCGGATCAGTGACTTAAACTGTGGGCGTTGATGAGATAACCTCACCTAATTTATGCCGACAGACGGTCCTAATAATGGTAAGTGAAGTATTCTAAGTTTTAAAATGCTTCACAAGTGGCGAGTGAAGGAGGGAAGGAGAGAAGATCAGGATTTGGTGGGGCTGACAGAGTGGTGAGGAAGAGAGGGAGGGGGAAGTGGCTGACTTCAGTCAAAGTTGCGATGGCGAACAAAAAAAGGATTATTTGAGGGCAGACGTGATCGAATGTGGGGACAGAAAGAGTTACATATAAAAAGAGGCGAGATATATAGGAGGCGAGAACGTTGATGGTAAAATAAACTCGATACTATATTTAATATAAACTCGAAGCTATGATAAACGAGGAATAAAGGAGATGCACAAACTCGCTTGGCCGGTAAGCGTTCTATGGTATTTACAATGGACACACCAACCTGAATTTTTACAAGTGGCAATGGGATCGTTTAGTAGCCTCGTGCCCATTCCTGCCTTTTTCGTCCAAAACAAGAGCATACCGCATTCGGTTTTATTCCAAATAGAAATCGTGCCTTCGGTCTCTTTGGGTCTAGCCAACGCCGATCCCAAGATAGCCACTTGGCACCTTTGACAACGTCAACACTCAAAATTTATTTATTTAAATTTTTTGGTACAAAAACGTACCGCCAAGTTCAACAGCTCCAATCCAATTGATTGATGCTGGTAAACCTTTAATGGCATAAACTGTCCTCGCGGAGTTGTCTATAGATATCCACTCGGGATAATCTACCGATGAAAGCGCTCGAATGCCTTCCTTCAAGAACAATAGACTGCGGATATATCAAATAGAAAGTGGGGTCCAGCAGGACAATAGCTTAGCGACGGGCCAATGACTGACAGGGGGAAAACAGAAATCTACTATGAAGATGATCGACAATCAACCTGGTGCCTAGCGCGCTTACTAATTTTGTGTTACATATCGCGTTCACCCCATAGTGGTTAGATCTGTGCGGCGTTTCATTCGTGTGCAAGAAAATCATGTGTGCGATGTTTTTGGCAAGAAGCTCGTTTTCTTCTTTGACTTGACCATCTATCTCGATAAGTATGCAGACAGCGTACCGGGACCGGTGGGACAGTAGCCACGCCACATGTCACCTCATTCACAGCCTAGTCCATATGAAAGGCACACAAGTGAGGGAAAAGTAAGGGCGCGCTACTATATACAAGCTGCAATGACGACTCAGCAGTTTTTACTCCATCTGTGATAGTGCCGAGCCTATAGATGAACTCAAAAAAAATTCAATGTTAGTATCAAGTGTTATCAGATCGGCATGAACTTGGCTGCGGTGATAATTGAAGAAGATGCCACGAGCATACTCTTTGCAGGAATTCCGGACCGGGCATACCTACGCTATTCCAATAACACTATTCAATCAAAAGAGCACGTTGTGGCTCAATTGAATGCAGGGTCAAGCCTAAGCCCGTTAACTGCAGACTTTACGTATGCCAAGGCAATGGATCCTAGAGTGGTCACTGGTACCCAATCTCCCAAACCTGAATTATATTGAATCAGCCGTGCATACACGTGACATGGCGTGATTCCCAATGTCCATCAGAATAATCCGCCGTTTGACTTCTCGCGGGAGTAGCGTCTGGATTGATGATGACACCGTGATCGGGTTCATCTCCTTTGTTCGCATCGAGATCAATAGGTTGCTGAGCGCCCCTGGGAATCCAGAGCCGCCCAGCTGGAGGAACGTGACCTTCTGCCGAGAGTACCCGTTCGCAACTAGTACACCGATCAACAAAAAGTCCTTGATAAGATACCAAAAGATGCTGGATGAACAATCAGCACATCAGCAATAATAAGGGTCCAATGTCTTACAATGAGCGTCTGAAGAGGTACTTGTGGGTGAGACTGAACCATTTTCGCGATATGCTGGGATAGTACTTGGAACGCGAGATAATCGGATTGCATGTGAGGCAGCTTCTATTCAAAAGTGGCAAGTGCATTGTAGCCACAATCAGAAGACAGGTTTTAAAAAAGTTAACCTATGCGTACCATCTCTCTGGGACCAAAGACGGTTACACTCTCTACAAGAAGTGGATCTTCCAAGTAGGTGAACACAAGGGAGACGTAAGCCGTGAGTACATCTTCGATTGTGAATCGCAAGATTGCGGGACTAGTCAACTTTAGTCGCGGCGTGCTGTGATTCATTGATCGGTCAAGTGGTGGCGAGCGTGTCCTGGACCATAGGCATAGTTTACATTTCGGCTGAAACGCTTCACTGGTCCCTGGGCTAGGATGTAACTTTATGTCACCCCGATTAAATTCTCGAATATATTCTACTAGTCCTTCGGCGCGCAAGCACGGAAGTTCGTCATCAATTGGTGGGAATAATGAAGAAGTTCGCGGTGGCGGCGGTATGTAAGGCTGAGGTGAGCCAACTGGTGAAAGTGCTCGCCTAAAGATCCGGAAAGATGGAAAAATAAATATATGACGTACGGTCGCGACAGATGAATTTATTGCTTACTTCCGTTTGCGACTTTCTCTCTGGAACAAGCCAAGGTCGCTTTTATCTGCATCTTCGCTCTCGCGGGCCACCTTTAACGCTTCTTGTATTTTTTCAGAGCGCAGGGTGTCGGCTATACTTTTTAGGGCGCGGAAGTCCTGTGTTGGAGTAGTGTGAAATGGAGCCGCAAAGTCGTGGTCGGCTGGGTCAAATGAAGAAGCAAACTCGGGTTCATGAGATAGTGAAGATCCAGATGGATGCCTCAGTAGGAACGAAGGTATATGTCGGACAGACTGAAGACGAATGTGGAAGTCCGTAAGGGTTTGGATACGATCATGGGTGCTAGGTCCAACTGGAAGGTTCGAGGCAGTTTGAGCCACTTTTGTTGCAGTGGGCGTTGCATCCACCCCCACCTCCAACTCCGACTCCAAGTCTCCTGACATAGCTGAATAGAAAGCAGAGCTAACTTGCACTGCCAGTGGTGTTACTCATAATAGGAACTTCGACGAGTGGTTTGTGGCTGTGTCAGCATGTCGTACATGCTGTATTATTTATCAGATTCCATCTATCAACTCGCTAATGACTATCGTATTGCAGTGGACTGTAGACAGATATCGCGGTGGACACCTCAAACCCTTCGTAAATCGCTCTGGTCCAACCGGGTCGTACCGCATGCATCAGAATCATCCCGGTATCCAGTTTCATTCAAGATGCTACCCCGATGCTCGCCAAACCACACCAACCTGCCTTTGATCGGCCTACGAGAAAGCAAGCGAAATACGAGTCCTGCCAGTGACGTCGCGCGAAAAACCGATGACAGTCCTCAAGGCTGTCCAACAACGCACTAATAGTATTCGCTTCTGACTCGGAACTCTCCAACTCTACTTTTAGCTTCTCATCATAAAGCCCGTCCATCTGGACTATCTGCACGAGAACGTCAGATGATAAGACGATCACGGATAACCACGGCGTTCTAGGTCTTGTACGCCAACACTCACCTCGGCGTCTGCCCATACAATAAGCCCTAATTTGTTCAAGATCTCCTTCTCGTAATTTCTTTGATAATTTCCTTCCCCTAGCCATACACCGATGTCCGCAAATTCATCGCTTTCGCTGCTTTGTCCTGTAACAAAGCTTCCGTAGTAGTGAGATTCTGCGGTCTGCTGTGCCGCTCGAACGAGTTTTTCGAGGTAGAAAGTGACGTCTTGTGGGACAACTTTCGTGTCACTGGGAGCAATCGATGATGATTGTGACAAGAAAATAGGGGGATTGTGGTGGATGGGCTCTAATTGCGCTCTGCTGCGGAGAAAAAGAATCTGCAGTGTCCTCACGGTAGCTGGTTGCGATTGTAGGTTAAGTTGTTCAGCGATGGCGTCCGCATCTCTTTCAAGGATGTGTGAATCAAGCTTGACGGTGGTCATATTGGCTATGACTGGAGCGTCGATGACTAAGTTAAATGTGGAGTCAAGACAGTCGAAATCATCCTTATATAGTCTACAATTAACTGCCAGTGAATATTTTATACAACTCTGGCAGTTTTGCTACATGGCAACAAGGTGTGCCCTAGCTCACCAGGAGTACTTAGGACGAGCGCCTTGTTGCTCAATGCAGGGGACATTTTGCAGGATTTTATTCGACGCAGGGAAGTATTTCCAAGCTATCAATCAATTCAACACAATACAACAGTTGAGAGTGGGGCTGTCGAGGCTCCAAGTGAGAATACTACGAGAAGATCAAGACACAGATGACAGAGAGCAAGTATGTGTGACCACCAATTTGAGTTCCCAGGTCGCATTCTCGTAGTCAAGACAACTGAGAACTTGTTCCCAGGTATAGTGGGGTCGATAACATATTACGACATCATATCTTTTTTGCACCGTAATTTCCAGGAAGGAAAAAGGGAGGACATTGGAGCGGGGCGTCCCATTAAACCTAGGCAGGTCCGGGCGCCGTAGCAGGTGTCCTGGCGCGGTGGCAGGAGTCATGGCTCATAGTCGGTAGTCCTCGCAGCTGTCCTCGATAGATAGAGCTGTAGCCTCCCGCTATAGAGGTCTGGCCTTGGGTTCCCCTTGCAGTCCGTTCCCGTTACAACAAACTCAACGTCATTAAAGTAGACCGCCGTAGTATGCATCAATTCTGCTGGGCTCATAAAGCCTTGGGTTGACGCTGATACTAAGAAAAAGAGACAGAAGCCAATTGCGATGTTCTGAAGAATCAGTCTGCAGTAAACCGCTCCCTGAATCTCCAGACAGGGTCCTAAATCAGTCATCCCGTGAGCTGTCGTGATAAAGATAGTAATTAATCAAAAAGGCAGTCTTGGAGAGAAATGAAAGACCTCAGTTAACGTCGTTACTTCGCTTTCCTACATGATAGCTTGGCATTCATACTAGGAATAACAAAGCAAATGAGCATCGCTCACGTTGATGTTGATGCAGGTTACAGCGTTAGTAATGGTCCTTCCGTTGACCTGTACTTTGAAAAAGCAGGTCGCGAGGATGCTGTACGGGCCCAAGATGAGAAGCTATAGGTAAGTTGACAATCGAGCAGGGAAATGTAGGACGCCATTCACCTTTCTTTCTGATTGTACAGACCCTAAAGATTTGAAGGAGTCAGAAGCGGGAGTCCTTAACTCCACACTATCATGATAGGGCAGAAATTCTTGTAGAGGTTTTTCATGCTGCTATCGAAAGCAAGTAAAAGCGTCGCCTCTCTACCGAGGTCATAGCTGCGAGACGGTCAGATAAAAAGATGCGGAAGCACAATAGAGCCAAGACACTCACGTCTGAAAGTTCAAGTTTCTGATGAAGGTTTCTGACACTGCTTGAGATTGAGTAGCTTCAAGTTCTGCAGTCGCCGCAGTCTTTCATGTCTCGGATGGCGGCATGGATCGTAGTACCTGTTTCCTTGGCTTACATTGTCAGCTCACCCCTGACTCTAGGCCTTTCCTCAGCACATTCGTGCCTTCGTAGTACGTACCTGCCGCTGGAGACATATGGGATGCAATACGCCTCAACTTGTTCCCTCCACTGTGATTTAGCTAGCTTTGTCTTGGTGGGACCAGGTGGGTCTCTCCTGCACCTCCGCTAGAAAATTGAGGTTCGATCTTCATTGCAATCGAAGCTTAAAGTTGCGCGCACTGCCAGCCCGAAGGGCATCTTACCTGCTTCCTTGACTTGTTACAGATTCTTCATGCCTGTGCTAGCTGTACCTTCGTGCATCGGGGGGTTGTAACCGGTGCTTCTGTGTGCCTGGCAGCTGGCACCCTCCGTCAGGCCTCCGAGTCCTGAACCCGGTACTCCGGTTCCCTGGCCCTCCGAGTCTACCGAATGCACATGAGCGCCCTCGCCCACATTTTATATTCCATGTCGATCGTTGCCCGCGTCCGCCTGAAGTAATGCATTACGGTACGGATCAAGTTAGTTGGCAACCCGCACCCGCAAGTGTGCATTTTCGTGTGAAATCTGTCCTCAATGAAAAATTAATACCTTCTGTCACAAAATAGTGTGATGGTCACACAAATTAACTCAATTCATAACTGCTATGACATGAGACAGCTAAAGTTGTGTCCATCATGTACAGCATCGCAAACCAAGCAGGTCCGGCCCAGGGTAGCGTGCCGATATAGGCGCAGTGTGCGGTAAAAAGCTCTCACCAAGCACTATCTAAACACACTCGTCCACATCCAACATTTCTACAATGACCTACGTCAAAAACTTGTCTTTTCAGACGTGAGCGTCTTTGCGCCATCATCCTGTATTATTTTTCACCCGACCGTTTCACAGGAAAGATCTCGGCAAGAAATCGACGCTTCTGTTGACTTTTGATAGCAGCGTCAAAGGCCTTTACCAGACATGCTTTCCTACCGTATGTTGGTAAGCACCCGTACTTTGACCTGCGTTGACTTTGAACCTTGCAACATTTCAGGCTCACCACGTTCGGACAGACAGGTGGGTGTTGTCCTTCCTGCCCAATTGTCCAATCACCTATGACTCCTCCTAGGCTCGTACAGGATACATGTAACCTATTCGAGCCAGTAAGTCTATCGATAAATATGTATATGAACTGTACTCACTCAACGTATAGACTTGCTTTTTCCAGACCACAACTCAAAAATGGGAACATCATTGACGCTGAAACCTGCGTGGAGCTCAACGTGAGATTCTTATCCGCTCTGCACATACTCAATCAAACGTCATCATGCAGGATGGCGAAAAAACCACACTGACTCGAGATGGTAGTGTCTTCCAGTTTTCTGTAAGTCTGATGCTTGTTTATCTCTGTTCCGACTGCTCACAAATAACTCGTAGAATCCCGTGAAGGGAGTCCCTGGATACCTAGAAGCTCTGAACGATTCTGGATCCATTCAAGACATCGCACTTGGTTTGTGGCCACCATGTTTCTTTTTTTGGCCTCAGCATAATGTCTAGCTGCAGGCTTCAAGAACCCGAGAGACTTGATGCCTACACCAGTTGTATACTTCAAGGAAGTCGAGTGTGTCATATTTCGTTTGTTTATAACCAGCGAACTCAGTGAAAGCACAGAGACGCCAGTAAAATCGTGGCTGAGTTCACTCCAATCCTGCGGGCCTACGTCACTGCAGATTATCAACACACCACGATCTTGCAAGAAGCCATCGAAATCCCTGCGATCTGGGAGCAAAATATCGCTTCGCTTTCTGAGTCTACGACATGGAATCTCACACGGGACACAGCCACCGGACGTTACAATCTCACTCAGGCGGATGAAGGCACGTTAAATTCGAGCATTAAGCCCACTGTTGTTGGAGGTCTGTGTCTCAGGTTTCTCCCTGTTCGTACCATCCTTATTTGAAGTCCCAATAGCATGATTCGAATTCTCTCTAGTCGGTTGTTCATTTTATCACGTCCCTCCTTAAATTACTGAATGTCGGCTCCCGAGAGCCTGTTGCACGGGTATGAATTCAATAATTTACATGTATTAGTATTTCATCATGTTTGGATTCGCGTGGCGTAAGTACATCCGCATAGTCTAAGTATCAACGTATGTCGAGCTCAGAGCTGTTATCTATCTTTGCGTCCTCCATCGTCCCTGTTCCACCGGGTCACGCGCACGGCCCATGATGCATGCACATGGGTGGTCGGTTGCTGTTTCGCTTTGTGAGCGCTAATTACATAACTATTTCAGCTCCCTTGCTCGTGCATCGGGCTGCGCACTGGCAACAATCTCTCAGTCTTTCGTAACCAGACCCGATAGAAGTGTCGTTACTGCTATAAATGCAATCACTCACGAAGTCGATAATTGGTGTGGACCTCGGGCCTGGTTCATACGTATAACCCCCGGATCATCATCCGTTGTCGGCGCTCCAAGTTTGTACGCTCTAGACCGATATCACCCCGAGGCACATCCAAGGCACAATCGTTCGTGGTGTCTAGGGAGCATTAAGTCCAGTCTCAATCAATGCTAAGAGCTCGCTAGACAACGTTTCTCATCTGGAGCACGAAAAAGGCGGCCACTATATAGGTGTCTATCATTTGTTTCCTATGATGCCATCTTCTGTGCGGGCGTTCACGGTGATGTGGTTATTTTCATGCGGTGACTACGTGGCAGCTGAATTCAAAAAAGTCGTGGCATTTGAAGAAGCGTGAACTTTTCGGCAGGAGACGATCCTGCCCCCATCATTGTCTATGGAGCCTATCCGAGTTCCTCGTCATCAGTCACTCTGTCAGGCTTATTAAATAGCGCCGCAATTGCGCTAAACAACCCCGTTCATTAGAGTTTGCGTATGTCTTGCGTCTAGGACAGGTTGCCATAGCATCCCTGCTCTGTTCTCTCCATTTCATCGTCGATGACCGGAGGATTATTCGTTGGACAGGACAAAAAAATGCCTTCTCCCATTGCTTTGAATCCGCCTACCCCTTCTCCGTCCATCTTCAAGGAGACAAAATCACTTGACAAATTGCCATTAATGTCGAGGGCAATCTCGTACCTTTCTGCTGTTCAACAAGCGGACACCCGCGCTCGGAGTCACAGCAATTCATCTACATCATCATCATCTCCTACACGATCCACCCCTTCCTCTGTCACAGCTTCATTCGACGACACCATGCTCGACGACGAGGATGATACGAACAACTGTCTCGTGAACCCGCTCACACCCCCCACTTCCGAAGTCTTCGCCACCGTTCACACAGAATTTGGTCACTGCACAAATGAGACCTATCGTTGCGTCTCCAAGCATGACTACACGAAACCTTTCCAGGAGCACCCAATCGAGGAGCCTCCGTATTACATTCTCCTCACCACCTACATAAGCTACCTCATGGTCATCTGTTTTGGTCATGCGCGCGACTTCTTTGGAAAGCGTTTTTTCAAATCTTATTTCACCCACCTTATGCCCCATAACGTAAGTGCCATCTTAATTCCCACATTTATATAATTCATTTAATACCATTGTGCAGGGATATGCACCGTTGAATTCGGATTTTGATTCCTTCTACACCCGCCGGCTCCAGCGTCGCGTGGACGATTGTTGCTCCCAACCTATTGCAGGTGTCCCTGGTCGCACCGTTCTAATCCTCGACCGTTATTCCACTGATTTCAACCTTCATCAAATCTACACCGGTACCAAGACACGCGCTTTGAACATCTCATCGTATAACTACCTCGGCTTCTCCCAGGCCCGAGGAGGCTGCTCAGACGCAGTCGGAGAAAGTATCCATCGTTATGGCATCTCCACCTGCGGCACGCGTCTTGAGAGTGGGAGCAGTGAGCTCCATATGCATGCTGAAGCCCTCGTTGCACGTTTTCTGGGGACGGAAGACGCGTTGGTCAGTTCTGTAGGTTTTGCCACCAACTCCACCTTCATCCCTGCATTGGTGGGAAAGAAGTCCTTGATCATTTCCGACGAACTGAACCACACTAGTATTCGCATCGGTGCGCGCCAGAGTGGTGCGCAGATCCGGATGTTCAAGCACAATGATATGTCAAGCCTTGAGTCCGTTCTGCGTGAGGCGATCAGCCAGGGCCAGCCCAAGACGCATCGTCCTTGGAAGAAAATCTTGGTTATCGTGGAGGGGTTGTACTCTATGGAGGGCACACTCGTGGACCTGCTTAGGGTTGTTGAGCTGAAGCGGAAGTACAAGGTCCGTATTGCAGTTGCTGTTTGGGGTTATGACGTTGATGTTTTATTTTAGTTCTACCTTTTCATCGATGAGGCACATTCAGTCGGTGCGGTCGGTCCCCATGGACGTGGTGTGACGGACTACTTTAACATCCATCCTGGCTCAATTGATGTCTTGATGGGCACGTTCACCAAGTCCTTTGGTGCTGCAGGCGGATACATCGCAGGGTCGAAAACCCTCATAGATAATCTCCGGCTACACGGTCACTCATGTCCGTATGCAGAAGCAATGGCGCCCCCGGTGCTTGCACAAATTATCGCGTCGATCGCGAGCATCATGGGCGTTGCTCCAGCACCACAGCCGTCCAAATCTCAAAATTCTCTCAACCTTACTAGCTCAGCTATTGCTCTGAAGGACAGTCCAAATGAGCTCCAACGAATGGCACCTGCAAGCATGCTGCCGGCATGGATAAACCTTCTCCCATCTCTCGCAGACGGATCCGAAGCTCGGATGCGTATCCGCCGTCTTGCGTTCAACTGCCGTTATCTGCACGCGGGCCTCAAGAAGCTCGGTTTCATCATTCCTGGTCATCCATTCAGCCCAATTGTTCCTCTGCTCATCTTTAACCCGGGCAAATGTATGATGTTCGCACGTCTGATGCGCTCACGGAGAATACCGATTGTTGTCGTTGTCGTAGGGTACCCTGCCACACCGTTGGAGAAGGGTCGTGCACGGTTCTGTGCTAGTGCATCACATACAAAGGAGGACATTGATATGGTGCTACGTGCGTGCGATGAGGTGGGTGAAATTCTAGACCTGAAACATGGTTCGGGCGAGCGGTGGGGGATTGATGAGGTTTGCGAGCGCGCAGTGGAACTTGTTCACTCTGCAGTGTGAACATTGGGATCTTTTTTTGTATATTATGGGGTTTGGATATAGCCTATTGCGTTGAGTCTATTAATATTGGCTTGCGGTGTCTGCTTGGGCGTGACATTTTACAGCTCATGTAGGGAGGAGGGAGTGGGACAGCCATGAACAATTAATTAATCACCGCTGGACATCTATTGTAGACCAATCGTAGACCATGATGAACTTCGTTCAACTCTTTAGGATTGTTCGGTGTGACTGGATGGTGTGACCTTGTGACTTTAATGAGTAACACCGAGTTTTGCATATCAAAGTACTTAAAAGTTGTACAACCATCCTCCACAAACTTGCCAGGGTTGTTTCTCATTGTATGCTTCGCTTTACCGGAAAAAATGTTGCGGTGAACAGGTTTGTGCACTTTAAATTGCTTAGCGGCATACTGACATGATGTTCGCTTCCAGCATCATCCAACCACGGCAACTACACTTGCTACTTTCGGGCCAACGTCTTGCTTCTAGTAGATTACAACTGTCTCACTATGCAAGAGCTGGACGGAAAGTTTCAGCACGGTCTGCCTCTACTTCCACTTCTTCTTCCAATGACAAGTCTAGTCATGCCTCAAATTTACCACCTTCCGCCGTACCACCTCGCAAGCATCGGGTGGAGCTCAAGCCTGGCCCATTGAAAACACCTTCACCATCGAGCACGACACCAAGGCCTCACTCAGTATTCCCAAAGCAAACACAACCCTCATTTCCAGCATTTCGTCGTTCTCCGATATCAAGTACACCAGATTCTGTTCCGTCTGCCATCGAACTAGCGAAGCAAGACATAGCAGATGCAGCTGCTAAGGGAGTCCTTCGACCAGTTCCACATGATGCTGGTGCCATTAAGCGCTTCACTCATCAAGCTTTCGAACTCCTTGTCTGTGTTTAACCTCATCGGCGCGTTTGCTCTCCTAATTTTTTTTTTGGCCCCGCCAGAAATTCTATTTCCGAGGGTTGAAGGCCATAAACACGCACCGTAATCAGGCAGCAGCAATTCGTTCGCGCATAGCTTCAGGCGGTGCAGCGCTCTCCAGAGCGGAGTCGCGTTTCATCAGAACATTCCACCAGGATGCACTGAAGTACACATCTGTCCATCTATTTTGATTTTTCTTACACTCCCACCTCTAGGCTCATTCCGTTTGTTATTGTTGTCGTAGTTATGGAGGAGCTCATTCCTTTTATTGCCCTTTACGTCCCTCGAATGTTGCCATCTACGTGCGTCCTTCCAGGTCAGCGAGATCGCATCAATGCGAAGGCACGCGACAATCAACAACTGGTCCTCGCAGGGAACTGGCAATTATTCGATGTTTTGCGGAAAGAAAGCGAAAGCTCTGGCTTCATTCCGACTCTTGGTCTGAAAAATCCAGAGGCACTATGCGGGTGCGTAGTTTTGAAATCTATTTTCAAACCTGTGTAAGAGTTTTTGTAGAGTCATTGGTGTCCCCGCTTGGGGGCCACTTCAACTGGTTCAGTGGCGTCTACATCGCCACCTTCAGAACATTGCGTCCGACGATAAATTGCTCAAACAAGAGGCATATGGACGTGATCTCACCCTTCCAGAGTTGAAGGAAGCATTGCAAGAGCGTGGAATGTAGGTATCCCATTTTATAAATGACTTGGCTCTGATATGTGTGTTTCTCGATAGGTCTATGTTCAGCGAAACAAATTCCGCAGATGAGCTGAGGGCCCAGCTCAAGTGGTGGATAGACATGACAGGGATCATGCCCGAGGGCGCGGATGATATCAGTAGGCGCTTGTTCGTGCTCAGTGTTATTGGATCGCACAAGTAAATGCTGTCGGGGTGCCCTGCTATCTATCCTCTTGTGGCACAGTGTGGGGCAGGCAGACTTTCTTAGAACTAGAAGTCAATCATAATATCTCAACTCCACTCGTTGTATTCGCTGCGTTGTCCCTATCAATAGAAATCTAATACCTAGTGATATGTGCACATGAAAATATGTGAGGCTAAAACTGCTGAGATACAATATCATACCAATGACAACCGAAACCCACATTGTCAACCCTCAAGTCAATAGCTAGGGTCCTAAGCTGTTCACGGGAGTCAATCATGTCCAGAGGGCGTTTAAAATTGCGGTAAAGAAGGCGTTTGGCCGAACATGATGACCCACTGAATAACACCTTCACCGAATCAGGGAGCCATTCGTCGACAGTAGCCTCCCAGCCTGGGCCAAGAGCAACAAAGGCTAACTCTCGCAAAGACGGCAGAGACAACAAATCAAAGATGCGAGCTAGGGGTGTTACATCCCCGAACTGAAGCGCATCCTCTGATAGATAGATACTCAGTATCTCCAAGGCCTGATGCTTGAGGGTCATCGCATCAGGGGGAGGATGAACTATCTCCAAGTTTTCGTTGTGAAAGAAAAGCTTGACTTTCAGCTCAACTAGTGCTGGGAAGTCGAGGAGGATTTTCATGAAGTCGATTTCTGCCCCTGGCCTATCGAGTGTAAGGTGTGTAATTTGAGGGAACGTGGCACGTGGAATAAGTTTGATGAGCGCCTCCTTTCCACAGAGAGCAACGTGCGTAATGTTTGACGTGCCAAGGGTAAGAGGATGTCCGGAGTTGACAAGGAACGACGTCGGCATGACGGATATTAAGATGTGTGTTACAGCGTAGGAACCGCTGGCAATAAATGCATCAATGTAGCCGCGGCTGGCCTGTATATGAAGATCACGAAATTGCGCCGAGTGTGATGCAAGCAGGCGGAAAAGCCCTGACTGTGTTGGATCGTACTGGCGAAACCAATCCCACTTCTGAAGGCACATCACGCTGACAGCCAACGGACGGTTACGGGCTGCTGCAAGCCAGCGTGTCACCATTGCCGTGTAAAAGTCTGCAGTCCAGACGCCCCAGTCATGAACATCAATAGAAGACCACAGTTCTGGCGTTGCCAGTGCAATGTTCCTCCAGCGGCGACAAATTTGGCAAAGTAAAAGCGGGGCGGACATTATGTGGGGAACGACATATCGATCGTTGGGGAGGCAGGATTTGAATATTTGCTGTAAAATTTCTGTAGGAAGGAACCTCGCAGGACTGATGCGAGCTTTGTTTTCGAGGATGCGAGTTTCTACAGCGCGCCGCTTCTCTTGCTGAATAGCCACGCGTATGTATATCGCCTCGATCTCAGCCTGTAGGCTGTCAACCACGGAATCTATGTTCAATAACTCTTCTGCATCTCTCTGCAAAGCAATCCGAGCTTCGTAGATCTCCATCTCTAAGAGAGAGTTTGGAAAGTTCATCGTACAAAGGACAGTGTCCAATTGTTTGGTGCTGACGACAGCGACAGAATCCATCGCTCTGCAGTGAACCAAAGATGTTTCAGTTAAAGGTGACATGTCTGGAATAACTTGGTCAGATTCAGAACTCGTAGGTCAAGCTATCATTCAAATGCTCACTCTTTTGCGGGACAATGGTTGAACAAAAGGGTACCTCTGTCTCGTAGACAGCCGTTCGAAGAGGAACACGAGGCTCAAACATCGAGGTGAGGCCGGCCCATATGCAAATACCCGCTGAACGTGTTCTATTACAAGCTAACCGAGATCAAGACAGACTCGGACTCGGCGAACTCGTAGACTGACTACTCGGGTGCCCACCGAAGAGATGCAGGCATTTATAGGGTACGGCGTCTTGAATCTCGGCTCTACGCCAAGCAGCTTCAGTAGCCCGCAGAATTCGGCTAAAGCATGTGCCAAGGGGAAGAAGGAAGATTCGTGAACTTCGTAAACAGGTTGATCCTGACTTGGTGGCACCAGTGACTAACTACAAATGCCTAATTAGGTGCCCCTGTCTCGAAAGAATTTTCGTTTACCTTGGCAATTATGTAAATTGACTTATCTACCAATTGTTAAGTGATTTGAAGCGCTTATATTATCGTACAGCACGCAGTAAGGATTACTTCACGACTGTTCCAAGGTATCACGATCCGCTGTCAGCGGCATAAAGAGCCTTGTAATTCATACCTGATGCAATGCGTCCAAGCTAGTTGGGTATTCACTGAACTTGAAAGCAGAACTATCTACTTTACTCTTCAGGTCAGCCCAGTTGAGAGTGTGCTTTATTCACGAGCCACAGCCGATGCTACGGTCTCCCCTAGTCAACCTAGCAGATCATTCGAAAGAAGGTAACCGTTTACGTGTAGGAGGGCAAGCGCTCGGTGTCAATTGTGTCCACCGCATGCTGCTTACTTATTTTACCACGTGCCCACCCTAGCTCAAGCGCTCATTGGTCAACTATATGTCCCGTAATAAGCCGTCGAGTTTCAAGAGGAAACGAAGAGAAAGTTGGTGAAATATAGTGTACAAAGTCTGCCTTTGTAATAAAACAACGACCGAAAGTCACCGCTTGTATAGAGATGTGACATGCAGGTTGCGTTCCGGAATCTGGGTAACTCTGACAATACTTTCAGTCGAAGAATGGCACCATATGCCTGATAATGTAAAACCATTAGTGATGTGAAGTATGTACTACGAAACTTATGATCATCTTATGAAACAAATAGAATTGCTTTACTTCTTAAAGCCCGAACCCCTACCACTGATGCATCTTTCGATGAGTATGAATGTAGGTGCGCATCTCGACAACTGCATATTGTCTTCCCCGCAAAGGTGTCCGTCAGCGATATCCCTTGTTCCCGCATCTGACATGGAGTCGAATGGGGTAGAAACTTCAGTCGACTCGACCTCGAAGTCGGAGGGACTCGTTGGACATGCATCAGAATCATCAAAAGGTCTAATGTCATCAGGGTCCACCTCGATCGTCTGAGTCAACCTTGGGTCATTAATGTCACCCTGGATGTTACGAAATTTTGCGTGATGAAGGACTATGCGTCCAGCCTGAGAAAATGAATGAGGAGGGGAATGACCGCTTAAATCTTGCACTCAACAGCAAACCAAAGGAAGGAAAACAGTACGCTAATGAAATTCAGCGAGGAAAGAAACCTGTAGTACATGCAAGACTTACTAAAAGATGATGTTTCCACTCATCTGTGTGTTGATGACGCGCGTGTTGCAGAGAAACATAAAGATGAAGATCACTGCAGTGATGAGCATATATGAATAAACAAGTATACTAAACCTACTCATTATCGCAATGGTCGTGCAGCTGCCGTCACGGACCGCAAGCTTGAGCCAAGCACGGGGAGCTTCCGACAGGCCGGATGAGCTTCCGAAGAATCTCCATAACATCGTGGAAAGGATAACCATGAACGTTACAATGATTGAGACGCTGGTTCTTAACTCGGCGATCAGATATATAAGAGGTGCAAAAGTCCTCACCCGACATAGATCCTACTGTGGTGAGGCGAGATGATGACACAAGTGGGGGTATAGCTAATACCAGTTATAACTGATCGAACACTGGCTGCATTGGCGGCAAGCTGTGCGCCACCAAAGACGGTCAAGAGTGCACAGATAGATTTACCTTTTCTATACATCTTGTACACTGCAATCAGGGCGGTTAAGCAGTCACCCAGAGTAAGACCGAAAACCACATACCCCGCAGCATGAGTAATGACTCTACTGAAAGCAGCAGACACTGGGTCATCAAGGTCTGGTACAAATACCATGCTCTGCAAGTGGACGGACTATTGGGAGCCCCCGAGACCATCCTAAATGCAAACCAGATGTTGAAGCTAGCGACAGGGGTGAGCACGCGACTTTGAGTTGCCGAATTGCTCACCTTTGGCCAGCCACACCAGCATACCTGGTCACCACGTAAATCTTAGCTTCCGTGGTCTTCAAAAATCGCCTGTTCACCAGAAAAATGCTCATCAACGTCGGTCTCAAACCGCAAAAAAAGTACTCACGGCCAGACTAGCCGGATTTCATCGGTAAAAGACCAAATATACTCGATAACCATGAGCGTGGATAAAGTCGCTGATGAGTCTAAATCAAACTGAAAGAGTGTTCAGATAGCGATTGGAACGCACTTGTTATTATAACAATGTTGCGTGCAACCGGATCGATGATGGAAGGGGTCAACATCACTGGCAACGTCAGTATAAAGGAGGGACTAAAATTGAAAGAGAAAAAATGGCAAAAGTCCGAGACTGCCTCACTGTGAACTTTGAAGTTGGATGTACAGTCAGAGGAAATATTCAGCAATTATCGGTGGAAATATATATGTGTTCGTGAGCAGACCCGAGCCGGACAAACCTAGGGTCGACGTCCAAGCCCTGACCCTGTCGGAGGACTAGTGGAATGCCATAAGTACTAGTGCGAGCGCTAGACTTATCATATCCATTAATCCCACGAGTCGGACTCAGTCGCCTAATTAGCCCCTAAACCTCCGCAAATCGCCAACGTTGTAACTCGAGCAGTAAAACAATAATGATACAAAATTCTACGTATACTGTTCAACTAGATATCAAACCGTCGTTCCTCGATACCCCGTACACCAGCACTGACAATTCTTCGCTCATCAAATGCAACGATACCATATGTACTGTTCGTTCCTGCAAAGCTGCCCTCGACAGGCCTAGCGACTTCAATCCCATCTCCGCCCTCGAGATCCCACACCCAAATTGCTCCGTTGGCGCTCAGGCTGACACAGCGCCCATCCGCAAGAGAAAGTGCAGAAACAGAGCCCGAAGGTCCATGCAGAGTCCGGACAAACGTCAATCTCGGTGTATGGACCGATGAACTTGAAATCGGGGGGACATGAAGGCGGTATAATTGAAGGTGATTCGATGTGTGACTCGGAGGTGAGATGTATGAGAGTAACTGTGGATGTCCCTGTTGGGGCGCCGTACCTTCAACTGAAGACCCATGGGATATTGGAGACATATCGGTCACATCTCCAGGGGCTAGAACGACCCACTTCCCATCCGTTTGTGTATCTGCTACTTTTTTCACTTTACGGCCCCATTGGTCACGCATAAGCTGAAGCTTGCGCTCGTCTATCCACCCTTGCGGGACGTCAAAAGCACGGGTAGACCTGGTAACGCTCACTTCGAAGGCCCCCTGCGATGATGACTCGCCGGATGACGTAGTGAATGTCCGTTTACGTGGTAAAATGCCCGATGGAGATATAATAAGTTCTGTGGCACCCACACTCCAGTGAGCAGGGTAAACGGGAATAGCGTAGGCCATGACGAGTTTGTACGACGCTGCCGAAGGCACGGTGGAAAGTACGAGTGATGTAGGAGGGTGACTAGTGAAAGACGTGAGTGTCTGAGTGTGCGTAATACAATCATTGCTCAGGTCGTATATCATGAGCGTAAATGAGTGCGACAATGTGACAAGCAACGGATGATTGTAGGCTGCGTGGGTCACCGGAGAAACACGATGTAGGGAAGAAGGGACATAAGTTTGCTTTGGAGTGGTGGTTAAGGACAAGGAAGAGTGATCATGTTCGAATATATTGAACTCTCCAGTTGTCAGGAAAGCAGCCAGGCGTATGACGTGTGAGGAAGATAAGGAAGGTGGAGATTGATCGAGTGCTATAGCAGATATTTCCGCTACAGATCTAGCTAGAGTAGACCTGCAAAGCAGAGTGCGCGATACTCCACCGTTGTCTCGTACTAGCAGGGAGGATCCACAGACCTTCGACGAGGATATGGTGAACCCACCTGCCAATATAACGTGTTGACGAGGAAAGGCTGGCGGCGGTGCTAGAGTTGCTCCCTCAGCGTCAGTGAAGTGCTCGACATCACAACGTCCTAGATATGCATATGAGAGAGTGAAAGTATATTGTTAATGATTGTAGGATTTACCATTCTTCCAGTTCGAGCTGATGCGGTACATCCATTTCCAGTCCAGAGCGTCATCAGCTGATGACATAGAAGTAGAAGCTCTCGAGGGAAGCGGTTTAACTGATCTTCCATCGGTCCGACCATAAAATCCCTTGCCTCCCCTCAACCTTGTTTTACCATACTCTCTGACAAACAGGGCTTTCCAGAGCTACAAGCATAACCAGAGCAGTGGCCGATCCAAGTGTGTTCAACATTCATTCTCTTGTTGCCCAATTAATCAAATATATACCTGGTTGTCGCTCGCGAGCCTCGCACAGTTTCTGTTCGTCCTGTGCATGGCACATAGATCTCTGGAGTTCAGGAACGAGAAGATAAACAGAATGAGCTCGTCATAGAGCGCATTGTCAAATGTTGTGATAAGGAAATGCCCCTGCGACGAGATCCGAGTATGATGTAGCCTCTTTGCAGGCGGCAGAGGCGCTGGGGACAGTCGGTGCTTGGACATGGCAGTACGGGGGAGAAATGTGTAAGAGGCATATCACCGATCGTTGTGTCGGCCCGCCAGTAATTCATAGACCGAGCAGGTCCGAGGAATTTCCAATTTTAGGGCAATGAGCCACTGCGACCGAACTTGAACTGTGCGCTATGAAGTTTGCTTATTACTCAACTCAAACGAATTAAATGGCTCCTTCACGAGGTTCACAAGCACTTGCTCGAACGCTCCATAAAACACTCTCGAATCACCGAGGACCTGTCCATGTCGTTCGATATGCCAAAGGAACCGCAAAATACGTCTTGAGTGGAGGACAGGATCGCTCGATACGTCTCTGGAATCCAGACCTTGGTACCGAGATTAAGAAGTTCGAGGCCCACGGATACGAGGTCCTTTCCATATCTGTGTCAGTCACATCAGTACTCTATTGGAGTTGACGAATAAAACCGTACATTGTGTAGGAGTCATGACAATACAAAGTTTGCATCTTCTGGAGGGGACCGTTCTGTCTTCGTATGGGATGTGACGGCGGGTGTGACGACACGTAGATTGGCAGGCCATATGGGCAAGGTGAATGTTGTGGAGCTTAATGCAGATGCGACTGTCCTGGCAAGTGGTAAGATTATACCTTTTACTCGATGTGCAAATGACAGTGTTCACCATGCTCTATCATAGGCTCGTATGATTCCACAGTAAGACTATGGGACTTGCGGTAAGCATGGAACCGTTTGGCCCCAGGGATAACACCAAACTGTTCTCGGCAGGGCACCAGCACGTGCGCCGATTCAAGTACTCGAAGAAGCTCGTGACGCAGTGCAGACCTTACACGTGGATGCAACCACGATAATTGCAGGTTCTGTAGATGGACATGTCCGAACATACGATCTCCGTAAAGGCGAACTACGTTCAGATTTCATAGGGCGTAAGTGCTGTGGATATTTATTACACATATGTTCATCATGCCCCACAGAGCCCGTTACCTCAGCTATCCCCTCATCTGATGGCACCACGCTTCTCGTATCTACGCTTGATTCGCATGTCAGGCTATTCGATACGACCAGTGGTAAGCTTCTTAATGCTTTCACTGGCCATAATCACACGTCGTATCGCTGTCGAGCATGTTTTGGACATGAAGAAGCGACAGTTGTTTGTGGAGATGAAGATGGTGCCGTTTGGGCTTGGGACTTGGTTGATGTGAGTATTCGAATTCACAAATATCATTACCGTACTTACGTTTGTTTTAGGCTACAGTTTTGCAACCCAATCCTCCGCCCAAAGTTCATGACAAGGTGATCACTTGGACAGAGCATCACCCAATAGACCCTGGGGAGATGGTTACAAGCAGCGCAGATGGGACGGTGAAAGTCTGGCGACACCCGAGCTAGACTTCCTTTGCTACAATAAGTTATTCTTCCATATGATTGTCCTTTCGTGTGCTAGTGCGATGCAGATCGTGAAACGAAATACTCCATTATCGACAGCGCTCATACATAGATGTACCTACCCCCTACGAAAGCAAACAATATTACAAAGGTCATTATCATCACAGCGTCGTTCCTTCCACCACAGCCTTCAGTCGCTGTCTCAACATATTCCTCGTGCTACTTCCATCCTTCCCGTCTTTTCCATCCTTCTGCGACTCTGGCGCTGTCACTGTACTCTGCATTTCTAATTCCGAAAACGAGCTCAACGTCGGCGAGATGGCGCTTACAGACGGGGTACTGCCAAAAATGGAGCTCATAGCAGTTCCATATCCGCTGCCCTCCGTAGCATCGCGTAGAATGCCCAACTCGCCTGGACCCACAAGTTCGACAGTCTCACTAAGCACAGCAATGCGAGTCCAACGCCGAAAGCGCGTGTACTTCCCCATCCCGCCTTTCGAGCTCGCACCCTCCCATTTGTTGTCACCATACAGCCAACCCTCAGGGTCTGTAACAGCTTCATCTGCAGATGCGGAATCAAGGAATGGGTCGCTTGAATGTTGCTCGTCCATTCGTTCGGGCAACTCGGCAGGACCACTGGAGCTTGTGTTCAGGTTGTCGCGGCCGCGTGCGGCGCGTAGCATCCGTGCTGCAGTAGATTCGTCAGGTCCGTCTTTATCCCTTGGAGGTGTCTTCTCCACTCGCCAGATACCCTCCTGGCCTTCCTTGCGTATGATAACGCGCCATTCAGGTTCTTCCCACGTCCAGCGAGCTACACGCCTTGCGCGGCCGTTCTTTCCAACAGCGACGTATGCCGTTGTAGAGGCGGGAAGAGGGAAGACTGAGGGCGGGGATAATGGAACTAGAGAGGAACTACACCATGATGGGCGTTCATTAGGAAGCAGAGCAGCTGTCCAATCAAGACCCATCCACCACCGCTGATTCTCGTAGACTGTAAACAGGAAGCGGAGAGGCGGAGAAGGCTTTGGTGCATCATCTGCTAATACAGATGCCGGGCGTATCTTGATAGAAATTTCCGTGGGAGAGGGTGATGCGGGTGGTGGGAGCGGTACTCCTGAGACAAACGCGCATAATCGGTAAAATGCCCATCGGATATGTGCGCTGCGAGTAATGGATGCTCGGGCATGTCTGGCCCAGTGGGCTCTATGAATCATGAACAGGGTGCCGCATAATGCGATGCAGATACGGAGACCAACAAAGGATGTGAGGATAAGGTAGGGCAGATAGATAAATGCAAGTACTCGGAGAACAACAAACGACGGAGGAAGGGGGGATTCGACGAAAGGTGATGAGGGAAGCAGGGCACGAATGGTCGCTAGATCAGATACGAGAGCGTGAAGGGTGCTGTCGGTTATCACCGGCGGTGAGATTGCCGAAGATGTGTGATTGGATGATGTCCAATGTCTCAGTGCGAGAACAAATGAGACTGCAAGTGGTAAGAAGAACCTGGCAAACAAAGAGGTTTAAATCAGCCGGAATACATACATAGTTGAACACACATACTTTAGGGTCGGTTCGGAGAGCAAGCAGAATGCCCACCATGTGGCGAGAGCAAGCCAACTTTCCTCCCATGAAGATTCCCAGCTGATAATCTGTGTAAAATGCCTTATGGCCTGAATATATGGCGCAAGGGCAACTAGCTCTGAAGCAAGTGGTATCGGAACGGTAGTCACAAACTCAATCAGCGTTAGAGGTGACTGCACGGCAGGGCTCATAGCAGCCGCTGCGCTTACAGGTGCCGTCAGGGGCATCTGTAGTATCTTTGGTTTGAGATTGATGTCTTTGGACTTGGGCGACATCAATTAACGGGTGATTTGGTAGCAATACACTTCACACGACAGCTTGCGGACCCGGCCAATATGCTTTCAGTGAGAAAGCGCGTTTTTTATAACCTGTTTATGCTAGTCAGTCATACTTCTCAAACAGATATTAACAACGTACGGTAAATCACAGAACTCACTGCTGTGCTGAAGCCTGACGCTGGAGGGGATGAAACGTAGTAGCCCGGCGTTCGGCTGGTGGCATGTGGCAAGTCATGCTTATTCAAGTTTATTAACGTGCAAAGGCATCTAAAAGTGGATCGGATTACATAAGTTTTTTTTGCACCTAAACTTTGTACTTTCCAAATAGGAACAAACAACGCCTTTCCAGATTGAGCTTGAAGCTTTGAAACATAGCTGAGTCAGTGAAATGCAATCAGCAATGACGCGTAGGCATGTTCAAACTTTACTGACCCTTTCTGTGATAGTGCGACTTGCAGTCTGGATATTAGTTTATATCTCTGCTCGCTTGCTTCCACTGTTCGATGCATCACCAAGCATTTGGATCAACGGAACACCCCCATCCTCTATCCTCCTTCGTTGGGATGCGTTCCATTTCGCGCACGTAGCAAGAGAAGGATATGTATACGAACACGAGTGGGCATTCTTCAATGGATTGCCACTGCTGATGCGCATTTTGGACCACTTGCAAGCCCTGGCAGGTTTTGGTACAAACGGTTGGGGGACGCTTCTTCGAGGCGGAGCAGGCATGGCCATACTGTGCGACTCAACACACGTGCTGTATCACCTATCATTACATTATTTCCGCTCACCTTCCTTGGCATTTTTATCCGCTGCACTCTCCCTATTATCGAGTAGCCCCGCTGCGCTTAAATTGGCATCATACAACGAACCGTTCTTCACATATCTCTCGTATCGGGGCATGCTAGCATGTGCACGCTCCAAGTGGGCTGCAGCATCTGTATGCTTTGCATTGGCAAGCATGTTCAGGTCCAATGGAATATTATTGTCCGGATTCATACTGTGGGGTATGCTGGTCGCGCCCTTTCTGACAGGGCAGAAAGATCTAGTAAGCATAATCATCCGAGTTATGACATCTGAGTTAATGCATTTATGCCAGCTTACTCCTAGACGTTTGCTTAAATGCGTGTTGTTGACTGCATTGCCTCTGATCCCCTTCATCCACCACAATGTCATGGCATATCTGCTATTCTGCAAGCCATCAGCAACACACATCCCGGATTGGTGTACGAACAATATGCTTCCTTCGATATACTCCCACGTGCAATCTAAATATTGGAACGTTGGCTTCTTGCGATATTGGACTGTCTCCAACATACCAAACTTCATGTTCGCGCTTCCTGTCTTACTTCATGTGTTTGCGTTCTGCTGGTTTTATCTATCGAACTTACCCGCCATTATTCCTCATATCGCCCCGTGGATTCGCTCAAAAAACAATGACGTCCCTCCCCCTCCTCAGCTTGACTCTCCATTTCTATCTCCGTCCCTACTACCCCACGTACTCCACGCCTTGGCGCTCACGTTGATCTTGACATTCAATGCTCACGTTCAGATATCACTTAGGCTTCTCCCGTCTCTTCCACTCACGTACTGGGCTGCTGCTCGTCTCATGCTTGACCTTCCGAAGTGGGGGAAGGCATGGGTCACATGGAGTGTTTTGTGGGGTGCCTTGAGCTGTGTCCTATGGGCAGTATTTCTCCCACCTGCTTGAATTTGTATGTTAGAGATTAGTGCGTGGTAGAATAAATGCACATATACCATCGGGAAACAGCAATTTGTCCTAACATAGCGTACTTTATCGTAAATTAGTGTTGCTGACATCGTCTTAGTCGGTTGCAAAGCGGTCTTCTCTTGCTTGAGTACTTCTGTTCGTTCCAGTTTCTGGGACATGGCGCTTCATATCACGTTAAATAATACAATTATAGGTATAGGATACAATACCGGATGTATGTTACAGTTTACAAACAGCAAAGTGATATCGGTATAAGATGCGAATGCGAAATCTAAGCCACCATATCATACAACCTCCAAAAAAAGCTGAACCTCTTTCCCCTTGGTTTATCCTTCACTTCATCTAATGGTTCGTCCGTATACTCATCAGTATAGAGATCGACCGTATCAATGTCCACAATGTCAGACTTCCACTTGTAACGAACTTCTCGGGTTCCAGTGTCACGGCGTATCAGAGAGGTCGTCTCACTAGGGGGATCGGCGTTACCTGAAGCTGGTGTAGAGTCTATGACGGCGTTCTTGAAAAGGACCCAGCCGAGGCCCATGACAATCATGACGGGTATCTCGATGTAAAAGGAGACAAAATTTACTGCCGAGAATGTGGGGAATATAGAGGACCATCCCTGGACTTTTCAACCCGTCAGTACTCAGTATGCAAAGGCAGCGGTGCAGTACGCACTCAAGATGAGGGAGATCACTGTGATAACCTGGGAGGTCACATGGGTTAGGGAAGAGACATCTAGCAGTATTAACACACGTACAACAAAGTAAGGACCCCATGGCCAGGTCCACGATGCTCGGAATTTCATTTCGTCTAAAGATCGACCTTGTCTGATCCAGGCTTTCCTGAACCTCCAACTAGCCAATCCAATTGATAACCAGGCAATCTAATGTTTTCTTAGTCCAGGGTTACCACACATTCGCGTATTGATACGAACCTGGTTTGAGACCCCAACAATGTTTTGTAACCATCCCCACAATTGGCCACTGCCAATAAAACTGCTGCCTAAACATAGCACGCTAATGCTACTGGTCGCAAGCAGTGCGTACAGGGGAACACCTGCCCGAGTGGTTCGAGAAAATATACGAGGTGCGTGGGGGGTGGGGCTAACAACAGATAGACCATACAGAACTCTTGTCCCCGCGAAAAGAGCGTGGTTACCGGCAGATAATACAGAGGTAAGAATGACGGTATTCATAAATGAACCGGCTACATCTGTTCGAAACAGCGTTAGCACTTGGACAAGGAGCAAGGAAGCATTGCTCACTTGAACCAGCTAGAGTAAATACAATCGTAAAAGGGGATGTAGTGGTTGTCTTATTCGACAGATTCGGGTAATCCCATGGCACTACTCAAAACAGTCAGGTGTGTAGCAGTGTGTGAGCAAAGAGTAGCCCACCATTCAGACCGATGAGCAGGATGCTCAGGATATAAAACAACAGAATTCTAATTTCACCGCTCGCATCAATGATCTATGAACGTTCGAATGCTTTACTTGCCTCCAAAATACGAACTTAACAACCTTTGGCATGTTTTTCGAAGGGTTCTCCGTCTCTCCTGCGGTGATACCTAGACTTTCTGTTCCACCGTCTACAGACTGATCAGCTGAATAAGTTCGCAATTAGCAATGCAACTTACATGCGAAACTAGCTGTCACGAAAACATTGGCGAAACCACCGAAGCCACCAACGAACGGAGCGCCAGGAATGTGCCAATTGTGTGCTCCAATGTAGGTATGCGACTGATTGACGCCGACATTGACAAGGATGCCAAGAATAATGAAGATCACGATGGTGACGACCTTCAGGAATGAAAGCCAATACTCTACCGCAAGGCGTTAATACCATTTTGGAAAGAGAAACGAAATCCATGTTACTGACCCAATTCTCCGTAAGCTTTGACGTGGAAGGAGTTGAGTGATACAAGGAACACCCAAAAGAGCAGGCTAACCAGCCAAGGATATGCCGGCGTCCAGAATTGTAACACCAGCTGGGCAGCAGTAAGATCAGAGGCAACAGACACTGCATCATTGAACCAATAGTTCCACGACAACGCGAAACCATAAGATGGCGAAAAAAAGCGTATTGCATAGGCGTTAAACGACCCTTGGAAAGATAGAAATGATTAGCACGCTGGCTAAAAATGAAAAAGAAGCACACACCGGCTACCGGATACTGTGTGGCCATCTCCCCTAGGAGCAACAGCGTCACATATACGATGAATCCCACTATACCATAGCAAATCAGCATGCTCGCAGGGCCACCTTGGGCAAGGGATTTTCCGGTTCCGAGAAAAAGCCCCGTTCCAATGGTACCGCCAATTGCGATCATTTGCACTTGACGTGCAGACAGGCCACGATGTAGACCTCTGCGCGCTGGCTGAGGGAATGGTGCTTCCGCATCATCTATATTGACATGCTGTTCGTGTACTGAGGGCTCAGGCTTGGTCCGCGAGGAAGAGCGAGATGCTGAACGAGTCATAAGCCAAGGTGCTCACACAATGGGCGTGAAGGGAAAGTGGGAAATGAACACGCGATTGCAGTCAGATTTATTTATTTTTGTACCATCTAGCGTGCACTGCACGGAATTCTGGCGCCATCGTGCGCGACTCGATAACCAGTGGCTAAATTAGGTCAGCTTAGATGCTGTACTCGTAACTTACTAATTCGCTTTGTTGCACGCGAATAGCGGATAGCGGATACCGGGTGTGGCGGTGAGGTCCGTAAGGACTCGGATGGCCCCGGCTTGGCGCTGTTGACCCCAGCGCACGGCTCGTCGTGGTCAGCGAGGAACCCCGGCGGGGATGGAGATGAGTTACATGATACATCGCTGAAAAATCAAGCGAGAAATACGTGCCATTATCGTAAAGACAACTACAAATGGTACCGTATCCCATGAGCCCACCAGGACACAGATTTCCATGAGGCATGCTGTAATGCAGGAAAAATGGACCCCTGTCAGAAAAAGCGTGCCCGATGAGACTCTGCACTACCATGAGGCACAGCGTTGGAGTGATCGCCGGCGGCTTGAGCCAGGACTATGACACGTGGATCATGGTGGGATGATGATATGCTACACAGACTACGAACAGGCTATTGATAATTACTACTGCTTACTGACTAAGCTATAGAAAGAGCCGTGGCCCAGATCCTTGAGCGCTGAGCTTGATATGTAGTTCTTACCCTTGGTCCACCGAAAGGCAGGGACGTCCAGTGCTATGAAGCACTTTGGTTGTTGACATGAATCGGTACACGGAGACACACCAAGGGGTAGAGAAACTCGGCCCGGCGCAGGATGTATCATACTGCACTTACATGGCTAGCTGCAATCTTTGCGCATCACTCGGAACAAGTGTTTTCCTTTAATGCGGCTGAATCATGGCAAGTTCGGGGTGTCACAGCCACAAATTCCTCGTATATTTTTCGCCGTACCCCAATCTAAACGCTGCTTAGATTGGGCGTCGATCGTTGTAACCAATACGAGCCTAGCATGTACGAGAGTGGCTAGAAATAACTAGACAATGAACGTTAATGAACGCCCATTCACGGTGGCCAGATTGCGTTTGAAATTTGAGACATCACTGCCATTTCGGTGTTTTGTGCAGTGATTGCTATCGAGGGAAAACACAGGGAACTTCCTTGAAGTAGAGCGCTAGCTTAGGAGGTATCGTATCTCCCGGAATCATAAAACACTGAGTTGGACAAAACACTGAGACCAAAAAAAATTAGAATCATGATAGTGATCACAAACCAATTGCAATGTCTGAGTCCTGGTTCCTAAATGTACTTAGAGGAAACCTGAGACTCCAGGCCTGAGGGGTCTACAACAGTTATGCGCGAGCTGTCGAGATAAAGATAAGCGACAAGTGGCCTTACAGAGATGCGGAAGACATTGGTCTCGGCCAGGATGGTCTTTCACCGTGCATGATGGTTTGCGGTAATCTCGACCAGGTTTCGGCGTCGACAACGTTCTCATTCATGAATGCATGTCATGTAGTTTGGAGAAAGCAAGCCTATAGTACATTGCTCATGCACATCGTTTATGAAGCACGCCAGATCCAAACGTACCTGCTCCAAGCTGCTTCCTTGATTTGTTTGATAACCGCTGGCAACTACTTCTCCTGGAGTCCCGGACCTGCTTTTCGTATATTGTCGCGTGCATCGCATTCTCGTCCTTGTTACTGCCGATAGGGACAGCGGAAACTTGTGATGCGTGTCGTGAAACACGTGAGGAATTAAATACAAGGCCGTCACGTGGGAGGACACATTTGACAGGAGTTCGAATTACCCTTGCCTTTGCTTCACACCGCACAATTGTCATCTGACGTTTTCAAGGTAATAGTAAATTCCAAGAGCAACGTGGTTGGTACTGACAACCTCATGTACAACCATATACGTGCAGCGTCTCTCGTTCCGATATGGGGGATCGATCTCAAACATCTGAACGCCCGGCATTACCAGGCCCAGCGACACCCAAGGCCTCGTTACCACCCGGCATGGTCATTGGTCCGGACGGAAAACCCTGCAAAATATGTACGGCGTTCCGTAACTGGAGGCCCGTCGCTTCGGGCACTGCCAGTTCGAGCAAGAAGTCCACCGCAGGAATGATGGCTGCCTTTGCATCTGGAACGGGCTTCCGATCCCCCGAATCTAAGCCAGAAAATGCGGTACTACCCCCACACTGTCCGCCGGATGTCGAAGCACTCGGACGTGCCACGTGGTCATTTTTGCATGTGACTGCGGCATACTACCCAGCGCGGCCTACTACCCACCAGCGTGCAAATATGCTAAATCTCATTCACGCGCTACCTGTCCTATATCCATGCACACACTGCGCGGCGGACTTTGGCGACAAAATCAAGGAGCATCCCCCAGACGTGAGCAGTCGGGAGAGGTTGAGCAAGTGGTTCTGTGAGCGTCATAATGAGGTGAACGAGAGGCTGGGCAAGGAAATGTTTGATTGTGCAAAGGTTGATGAGAGATGGAAGGATGGTCCACCCGACGGCAGCTGCGACTAGATTGCAGTGTGCTCGTGTAGGTGGGTTTGCACATCATTCACTCTCCAGGAAACACATAAAGCTATTACTATGGACTACAAGCTCTCGATAATACCACTCATGGAAAAAACACGGTCTTACTTTCCAGGTCGAAGATTTTATCACCACCCGACAAGGCGACCGGACAGTAGCATGAGTCTCAAAGCCGTCACCGACATGAATGGTATGCGATACGCTTGATAAACGATGGGACCTCGATTTTATGAATATGAGTAGACCTCATGCACTGCATGAGGCAGCAACGTGTGGGCGCAGACTATGCCCTCAAGTAACTTGACCTACACTTACCTGTCCTCTGCCGTGTTGGATTTGAGAGTCTTGGTATGTTGCATTCTTTACTTTTTTTTCGGTATATTTACTGTCGTAGCATAATTCAACGACTCGAATACAGTGTCCAGATTAATACCAAAAGCAAGAGGGTAGTGCATATGTCGGTACGTGTCTTGAGCATGGCACGCAATCTCGAGTGTTCACAAGATAGCAGATGTTCAACGTGCTCGTCGTTGGCCAAACTGGATGCGGGAAGAGCTCGGTCGTGAACATGCTCGCTGGAGAAAGCCGGGCACCCACGTCTCACGACCTCAGTCACTGTACTAAACACTGGGTTGAGTACGCAATTCCAGTCGACGGCCATTCATTCCAGGTCTTTGATACCATTGGTTTTCTCGAACCCGGGCTGGATACAAAAGGGTACACGGAAGCTATCGCTGATACATACCTCGCAATCGATACTCTAAGGCAAAGAGGCGGCATTGATCTACTCCTTTACTGCGTGCGCGACGAAGAGATTGAGAAGATGAAGGGTCACTATAGGTTGTTCCATGAAGTGTTTTGTGATGAAGAAGTTCCAGTCGCTCTTGTCGTCACGAATCGTGGCATGAGCCACAAAGTCTACAAGGCAATTTTCCGCTCGCACAAAATCGCCTGTGTGGATTACGTCTGCGCAAACATAGCTAGCACGCCTGGACGTAGTAATTCAGTTGCGGACACCGAATCGCAGAAGGCGATCAAGGAACTGCTAGTGAAATGTTGCGATGCGGGACCTAATCCTAGGTCCACTCTGCAACAGCTATGGCAACGAGTTCAGAAACTCGTCGGGACAGACCAGTCTCATCGATCTCTCAAACGAAATGAAGTATCCGCGTTGCTCACGCGGCGTTGCAAGATGGAACAGGAGGTGGTCGAGCAATTGCTCACGGCCCTGAACCTCCAGTCACCGTCAAGTCGGCTTCATCGGGCACCCTATGCAGGCGGTAAATGTTGGTTTTCTCTATCCTATAGCGTCACGTTGACTGATCGGCGAGTGCAGCTGCAACTCGCAAATTGCTTTCGTCAGAGAACGGCGCTAGTACTCGAGATGAACAAGTGTCAGATGCCAGGCCAAGGTAAGCCTACTAATTGTTTGACGAGACTTGAACTTGAGCGTATTGTGTTTTCCTTCTCTTCAGCTCTGGATCTCAGTTACATTCCGTTGCGGATAGTACCTCTCTGCATTCTCACTCAGACAACTGATGCCGTTAACGAGCACCAATCTGTCAGACGTATGTGTGTACTTATGAGATGAGATGAGATGCTGATACTGGATGAAATACTTCAGCTATACCATATGCTTCCCTCCTACATGCTGTTCGAATTCAGAAACGACGCGCTGATGCCATAAGGCGTTCCAGGACGACCTGAATGCTTACACAACACATTGCGTGGACGAACCATCACATTGACTACGTTAATGACCTCACAAGGGCATAGGATTATCGATAGAAAAACAAGATTGTGTAGACATCGAACTAGCAGTTTGTAAATCCCACAGCTCCGGATCTGTGTAAGGTGGAGTTTCAAACGCTATGGGTTGAGAAACCACTCCCAAAATAACCTCGTCTGTTACAACATTCTGCAAATCGGACATTTCTCGTAAATTGAACAAGATGCGCGAGGCAAGAACGCTATGCGCGACTAGTTGTGGGCTTCTCCGACTCAGCTTGAAATATGTAGCAAGTAACGATATGGCTTACCCAGCAAGAAGTGCGGTGTAGGATGGCTGGATGCCCGGATCAGAGGTTTATATGGCGATATAAGAACGACTTGCTCACAGGTAGTAAAATGACGGAAATGCAATTCGCCATCGAGACCACTGCAAAAAGTAAGACCGCGTTACTCACAAGAGCCCTCAAAACTCACGAGTGATACATAGTATGGAAATTATGCCATCCCGACATAAAGTAGCCACCAACGGACTACCCTCCGATCGGAAAGATTTGAAGCGTTTGTACAGTGTCAGCGTCATCAGCACTGCAGGTGATCATGCAGTAACTGGGGAGAATAATCGTAATGCTACGTACCAAGCTCAACCAACATCAACAAACCATAAATAACAGCGGTATTTGGTCCTGCCACAAACAAGCCAGTCGAATCTGAAGAAATGTTGTGAGCAGAAGAAATTCAGGACAATTATACGAACCTCCGGATTCACTTGCATCAACGTCTGAGATTACCAGCACCGCTGCTGAGACGACCTGAAGGAATGGTAGATTTTTCAGTCAAAAGCAAATGGCTCAGGAGAAAGAGACTAAGCTCACCGTGGTAAATGTCAAAGTCAAAGTCAAGAACCTCTTGTCACACCCCCAAACTACGTAGGTCCTTACCACAAGCAAAACTTTGAATCAAACGAGTCATTAGAAAAGAAACCATGTGGCTTGTGGAGTTGATACTCACGCTCAGCAGCAGCTATACCCAACCAGCGGATGCCTAGAAAATGATTGAGGATAGGATTTAAGCGAAGTTCTTGTTATACACCCACCATCATATACAGCAGTGAAAATCCCATCATCAGGCTGGAACATCGTCATGAGTATTTTTCACGTCGTATCGCGAAGAGCTTACAATTCCTCCATGAGTGGACCCGACCGAGTCTATCAGCGGGATCTCAGTGAAGAGCGAGGGTGGAAAAAAGGCCGCAAATACTCACAGTATACAGTCATAACAAGACCTACGAATGGCAAATACCGAGAAACGATGAATATTATTCTCATGATCCCCCACCTCCTTCCCCATGTCCAACGAACCTGGCATCTTGTCAGACTTACATAGCACCATTAAAAATAACTAACCTCCGAGTCAAAAGTGATGATGAAGTCAAAAAGCTACAAAGATAAATCAGTAGTTATGACGACACCGTTTGGCCCTACTTACTAAAACTGTCATGGAAGCAACTGTTTTAACAGGAGGATTCAGTTTTGCCTACAGAAAAAGGAAAATGTAGACTACCTGAAGTATACTGAATCCAAATGAGCCAATAAAATCGACAGGTGAGGAAGAGTACCCACTGCGACAGTCTGAAAACCAACAGAATCGGGAAAATAGACATTCATGTTGAGCTGGGGTTGGCAGGTAATCTCCTGTGGTAATATTTTAGATTGAACCTGAAGAAGGAACCAGACAGTCGTCCCATCGAGGTTCCGGGCGTATTGGGTAGAATTCCCTCGAGTCACTGTTAAAGGTTAAGTACTAGTAGTGGCTCCCAGTCTCCCACAGCAATCGGAGCTGGCACGGGGAATCCGAGGAAAGTTCGATCGATTTAACCATTATACGTAACTAAAGTGCTTCGTATAACGGGTCTATTATTATTAACGGCACTTCAACGTTGCAACTACTTATACATGTGGTTCATGCACACAGCCGGCGGGCGGCCCTTCCCGGGCCTGTGATACAATGCAAGCACCGATGGCACGGCAGAGTACTGCAGGAGTCTACGGAAACCATCGCTACGAGTAGCGCAATAGTTTCAACTACTTGTATATGATTTCTGAGAGTACGAGAAAGGGTAGCATATGATAGAGACTTGAAGCTTGAAGGCCCATGATCACATGCCATGGCAGCACAGTACTTAACTATTGTTATACTAGTGCTAAAGCGCTAACGTTGGGAATCATGCTAAGACCGTCAATATCGGGAGTCCGAAACCGCTTGTGATGGACATCATGGCAAACAGTACCCATCGATGCGCATGTGGACGTATCCTATATGAATAGCAATGAGATGGCCATGCTCGGAGTAGGCCTCCCTTCTTATTTTTGGCTTACCTGCAAGATTTCCCTGTAGGATTGCTTGCAACTGCCTCGAGGACCTAGCGCCCAAACCTGACAATAAGTCAGCCGGGCTCAACTTGCTACGTGCTTGTCATTCCGGTATTGGCCAAGTCTTTGACTTGCAAAATGACTCTGCGATCCTCTTATCTTCTCCGCCACGGCCACGCCACTGCGCTGAACGGCTATCCGCTGCGAACAATCAAATGCAAGGCTCGGAAGAGTTTCTGCGGAAGTGCGCCAGGCATTTCCAACATGTGATAATCGATCTTCTGGACATTGCTGGTGTTTTGAGGTACTGATGCAATTCCCGATAGCGTCACCTCTCGACGATTGTCAGTTTATACATGAGACTACCACACACGCCCGCCTGGAGAGTTGCAACGTCGAGGACCGACTTCGTTCATCATTCCACGACAGACCAGCAAGTAGACAACGATATATTGCACTTCGGTCGATGGAGCTAGGACAAAGTCTCTGAATCAGCAGACGTGATAAACAACGCCGAGGTAGAACTGCGTACGAGGAAGCATCAAGCATTTTAGTCTGAGGAGGAAAGATGCAACCGGTGACAACAACGCCGGTGAAGACGTCCCAAAAATGCGATAAGAATTCACAAGGAAGCCCCGGAAGCTAGCGGTAATCCTCCGGAAGACGAGCATGGGCGCCCGATCGGTCGAATTTCAAAGTTGCACTTATTTTAAACTCAGCTTTCTATATGCATGGACGATAATTATATCGATCAATGTCATACGTGCTGTCTTATCTTTGTGTAGGTAACCATGCTTCCCAGGGAGCTCATTGCCTTACCTGCAGGATCTCCTTCTTACATCAATGCCCGCCTCGAAGATCCTTACGCTCAAGCCCGGCAAGAAGTCTGCGGAGCCCAACTATGTCCTTGTCATCCACGGCGGTGCTGGTACAATGATACGGGATGGCTCAACGCCCGAACAGCGCGCCAAGTACAGGGCTGTACTCTCACGCGCATTGAAAGCGGGCTATGAGGTGCTCAAGAGCGGAGGTGAAGCTATGGATGCTGCCGTCGAGGCTGTATCAGTCATGGAAGGTGGGATAAACAAGTATTTGGGCAGTCAATAACTAACTTCTACATCTGATTTACAGACTGCCCGTTGTTTAACTCTGGCCATGGCGCGGTCTTTAATGTTGCAGGCAAGGTACGTTTCCTTACCTATGATAAAGAGCATTCCTGTATATCATGTCTAGCATGAGCTCGAGACCTCTTTAATGGTCTCCAAGCCTCCTGCATCACACCCTGCAATGCCCTCATCCCGACGCGGATCCTCAGTGACCTTAATCACTCATACCAGAAATCCTTCTCACCTCGCACGCGCACTCTACCTTGCGCCCCAGCTTGCCCCTCACCCAATGTTGTCGGGTGCAACAGCAGAAGCCACAGGTGCTTTACTTGGCGTACGTCAGGTAGATCCATCCTACTTTTGGACTGAGGCCCGGTGGAGAGAACACAGACGTGGTCTTGGATTACCCGAAGATCCTGTTGAATACCCCAGACCTGAAATACCCGACGATACAAATTCAGAGACTACCGATGTCGCCACCCTTTCTGATGACAAAGATAAAGAGACATGGGAGCCTCTTGATCTGATGCCAACGGGTACTGTTGGTGCAGTCGCACTTGATATCCGAGGCTGTATTGCCGCAGTAACCTCCACTGGTGGATTTACGAACAAACTCGTCGGTCGAGTTGGAGATACCCCCGTAATGGGATCTGGTTTTTGGGCTGAAGAATGGGAAAGGGACGGTGGATTTGTGAAGCGCAACTGGGATCGCCTAAGAGGCAAATCGAAATATGAGGGTGTAGGCGTTTCTGGTACTGGTAATGGAGACGTGAGAATCAGTCGAGCAGATATTCAGCTTGCAAGTGCTAATCATACACTTTAGTACTACATTCGCCGTGCTGCAGCTTCCAACATCGCTCGGCGCATGCAATACCTCGGCGAATCCCTGGATGAGGCGACTCAGAACGTCATCGATGACCTGTTCAAGGAAGGAGGATTGGGTGGTGTCATTGCACTGGACAGAGAGGGAAACGGTACGGTTTCGTTCTCGTATGAACTGTGCAACTGACTTGAACTCTGGGTGTACCAGTGGCTCTTCCACTGAATTGCAGTGGCATGTATCGTGGCGTTATTCGCCCTGATGGCGTACCGCTCACAGCTATTTTCTTTGACGAACAACTTACTGAACTCGAAGCTGGGTCAACAAACTGCACCTGAGCTTACATTTATCGCTAGTTGATAATTGTTCTCAATCGCATGGCGGGACACACATATCTTTGGTGGGACTGGTTGGTGATTAGGACATTCGGAAGGTAGACACTAGGGAATTTAGAGTTCGCCAGTCATAAACGTTAAACCTGGAAGGACAAGATTAATGGAACAACCAATACATGTGGTTTTACATGCTTCTTCAGCGACAACCAACAAGTCACTTTGCCGGAGTGGTTAACGGGATCGCCTGCTACAAGTAGCTAAGCGGTTGGGCTTTGCCCGCGAGTGTTCGAATCGCTCAGGTGACGCTTTTTTGGTCCATTTCTGCAATCGAGGGTTCCCACGGGGTCTAACATGAACGCGACCAGTTATGTTATTCTCTTTACCTCAAGTCCGCACAAAGTGTGAATGTTTGAACGCTCACGATGAGCGCGAACAAATATGCAAATCTTCCCGACATCGTATGTAATATCGCTACTGTCCATGTGATCTCTCCACTTATTGCTTGATGACAGGACACTGCACCAGATGTCTATGAAACGGAGGACGTGTTTCCCTCATCTGAGATCAACGTTAGTGCTCCTCGTGTTCCCGGAATGCTGCCCACGAACAACTAATCTCAATCAGAAAGGAGATTCGGATTCTGACGAACCCTCAGGTCCACGAATACGCGCTCAGCGGAGTGCAGAAACCTCAAAACAAGAACTCGACGACAGCAACTTGATCAGCGCGGAAGATGCGAGCAGACACTTTCGGAGAGCCGAACGACGTCGTGCGTTGTATTCTCTTGAACACGTATCGGATTACAGACATCTGATCATATTTCAGGGCAGGAATCACGCTTTGTATATCCCCCGTCACCGACGTCCTCGCCATCGCGTTCGCCATCACCGAGTAGGCGGCCTCTCCCTGCGCGCTTGCGGGCATTGCAAGCTGAGCTTGCTGCTTTGGAGGGTGAGGTTGCAGATCCGTCCAATCCTGCGCTTAAAGCTGAGGGTGTCGATGCTGGTGAGATGATAAGAGGATTAGTGGACGTGCGGAGACGGCTGGAGAAAGTCAGAATGGGGCGTGAGGGAAGAGGAAGATTAGTTGGTGTTGTGCTTGGTGATGGCGGCAAGGAAGACGGCAAAGAAGACGTGGAGGAGCCCAGTGCGGATGACAAGACAAAGGAGTCGAAAGTGCAGGAAGTTCCGGAAGTTCGGGGTATTGCCGAAATGGACAAACGAGTCGGGGAACTAGAGAAATTGGTGGGCTCTGTGGGCGCGACTTTGGATGAGGTATGTACTTTTCGACGCCAGGCGCAGGGCGCTGCTAACCAGGTTTCAGTCTACGCCGATTACGCCGCCTCTTCTTCCTATGCTCACGCGCTTGAATTCACAACTGATGCTTTTGACTCAACCACGGCATATCGACTCCATCTCCCGTCGACTGAAACTTCTGTTGTCGGACCTTGAGCGGGTATCAACCGCGCAAACACCAAAGCGCCAATTGCAGCAGCCTGGTTCAACAGTCATTCCTGGCACTGCAACCCAGGATGCGCTCCTCCCTCTGTTAACGCGCCTAGCTCCTTCACTCCCTCACATCCCACATATATTGACTCGTTTGCGTACCCTATCTGCACTGCATGCATCTGCGGGTGAGTTTCAGGGAACGATGGCAGCGCTCGAGGAAGAGCAGCGTAAGACAAGGGACGCTCTTGAAGCTCTCAAAAGTGCCGTCGGAGACGTGGAGACCAGCTTAGAAGCTAACAAGGGAACAGTTGCAGGGAATGTGCAAGGTCTGGAGGACAGAGTTGACAGAGTTTTGACTCGACTCGAGGAGCTCTCAACGTAAGTAGCAATAGACGATTATAATGATACCATTAATGCAATGACGATGGATGCGAGTAAAATACAATGATCCCGTACAGCTTTTGTTCAATCAATCCAGATCGGTAACACCACTATCTGCAAGAAACTCTCTGGCATGCTCCTTCGCTGCAGCTGAAACGTTTGGGTCTAGAAACGTTCACGGTTAAAAAGTAATGCGTGGTACGGGAGCGGATCTTACTATGGATGGCCGCCTTATATCCAGCAAGGACACGATGCTGGTGTTCCTCTTCTGAATGTGAAGTGTCAAGATCGTGCTGGATACCAGCAGCGTCCAACACTTCTCTGGCGTGTTTCTTAGCTTCCTCGGAAACATGGGGATCTACACGAATCAGCAAAATGGTGTGCCATCGCATGCAACCGGCGTACTAGAAGTCGCTGCCTTGTAGCCCCGGAGGACATTCTTCTCGTGTGCCTCGGCCGCTGCCGACTGAGTAGCCTTTGTCTGCGCTGGCATAATGGGGTCTGCTGACTGACCCATCTCTTCAAGGCGTTTCAAGGCGTTCTCCTTTGCCTCGCCTGATACATTCGGGTTGTGGACAGCCGCTTTCAGGCCAGCAACAACGCGCGCTGTGTCTTTGGTGTGCTCTGAGGTTCCTGAGACACAACAAACTCTTAAGTATCGAAAGAAGAGGTCTGAAAATGTGAAAATACGTACCGGACATTGTTGTGTTTGTTAGAGAAATCGGTGAATGGAATTACGGGCATAATTTCCCCTAGGAGGCGTTATATACCAGCATCAACAGAGGGGCTTTATGGACTGACGTCGGTATGATATCACGTTCACGTGATGCGTGCGTTAATATCATTAATTATTTTTTGGAGTACGATTTCCTTAATAAGTAATCAAATATCAGTGAGCGGGCGTCGCGACTCATGTTGACTAAGCATCTCCAAGGTTCACTCAGTTGCACAGCCACACCAAGTCCTACACGAGTCCATCTAGCCTTCGAGGCACCTGAAGCACAGCGACCGGTTACATTCCACTGAGGCCGCAGCCTCCCAATCCCTATAATGGCTTCTGTCGCATCTTCGAATACCCTCAAATCACATACATCTCCCTCGAAAGTATGCTTCACATGCATCATGCAATCTAATATTTGACGTTCGCTACCTTAGCCTTCCTCCACTCGTACTTACGATGCGAAGCTCGTTTCACGAGAAATGCACCGCCTCGGGACCCTTGCAGGTCTAAATCCAAGCATTACCCCTTCACTATCCACAGGTCCTGTTGCACCTCCTCTCGCGCTCGCACCATCAACTTCGCCATCTAGCAGTGGCATTGCAAGTGCCGCTACGCTTCATTCCAGCGCGTCAAGTGCGGGTATAACGGACAAGGATAATCCCTGGCGCACACTGCATGTGCATGTCCTCCCCCTGTTCAATGAAGAGCCATTGCGTGTACCCATGTACGTTTGTTGCGCGATCACCTGCTCTGCAAAGTCTAAGTATACACAGAGAAGACCTCAACGCTCTTGTAAGACGGCATATTCAAACGGTGCTAGCTGTGTCCCCTTCGAAAACTCTCGCGACTCTCGAAACAGACGCGCGTGAGCTTATTGCAGCAGGCATGGTCACTCTCAACGCCAAGCTCTCTAATATATCAGACGAAATACTATTGGGCCGTGTTACTGAGATCTGGGCCTTTTTCTGGGACCAAATACTCCCATATATCGAAGGGGTTAGCTGTTTTGCCCAATAACGATTCGTGTTTCTGTTCTAAGCTCATCTTTTAGGTCCTATTACCGTTGCAAACTGATCCCTTACTGACCTCACTACATCGTACGCAAAAACAACATCGGACGTCTTCGCCTACGCGACAAGGCGGTAAACTGGGTGGCTCATCAGCGCTATCCTCGCTATCTCCGACGATTGACGTTCGCAGCGTCGCTCTATGTGCGTTTCGTGATCGTGTCGTGCTTCCTGTCCATGGCCGTCTACATAATCTGCTGTCCCCTCCTTATGGGAAAGACATGCTCGCACGGCTAAGTCCCTTCCGTCAACCGAGATTGCAACAGATGTGTGTGCCCTATTAAATTTTAAATCTAATTCCTCGTGACGCATTCGCTAGGTTACTAGTTCTCACATCTGAGCGGCGGGTCCGCTCTCCCTCTCCACCCCTTTCACTACACGCGCCTGTTATCCATCCTTCGGCAGGCGAGGCGGCAATCGAGTCTCTGCTCCGCCTAGTCTCGAACCAGCGGGTTTCACATGGACATGGACATGGTCTCGCACCTCGGGCAGCCACGCCCAGTTTCCTGTCTGCCGGGCGCCCACGTGATCGACGGGGGCGAATTGGCTCCTCTGGGGCGGCGAGTGTACTTGGGATTGTTGGCGGGTGGGCAGCGATGCCCACACAGACAGATGAGCGGGAGGAAGAAGAAGAAGGAGAGGGTGGAGAGACTCCGAAAATTGGGGGGATTGATAAAGGGCTGACGAAGCCGTATCACCAGCGTGGGGGTGGGTGGGGTCTTGGAGCTGGGAACGAGGACATTATCAGGCCAGTTGAAGAAGATGACGATGACGATGCATTAGACTGGGCTCAAGCTCAGGTTAGTGGGAGCTATCCAGCTGAGGCGATTTCAAATTAATTTTACATTAATGGATCTAGGCTGTGGTCGAGAAGTTGGTAGGGATAACACCCATTGAAGCTGTTGCCGATTCGCGCAGAAGGGCAACTTAGCTGATATAACTGATGGAGGTCTTCAGTGTTGATTGTCTGTGTACTGATACTGTACCTTGCTACGGGTATGGCCGCTTCCTGTGTCTCGTGTTCTTATTTGCCCCAAAGCTGATATCTCGCACGAAGAATACTTAGAAAGGAGTACTAGTTGGGCCTTCATTGACACGACATTTCATAGCTTGGTCTATCGCGATCAATCTTTGGAGTGTCGTGTTGATGAACAGCAGCATCCGCTCGCTCTCATGTACACAGTGGCCAGTAGTACAAAAGAGGTCGTTGTTACTGATATTTATGCACTCCCTGAGAGGATGGATTGCGAAGCGATTCCTTCATTGATGTCGATGGAAGACGACAGACTTTCACCAACCAATATCATGATCTCGAAACCATCTTCCCCATCATCATGGTACCCCCAGTGCTGATCACGAAGCTTTGCTTTAACTACTTTGGAGGCACAACAAAAGCACGCCCTCATTTATTTCAGAACTTTGTTGTCGATTCACTTTCAGTCAGCCCAACTGACGGAGTAACTTCACCGTCGCCTCGCCTTGCAGAGTATTCCTGACATCGACGAAAGGTCGGGCCGATATCAGCAAAGTCTGTCCCGGAACCACCACAAGACTACATCGGATGGGTGCTTTCGATGTTTAGATTCCATTGAAGCAGAAGGAACATTTTCGACAATGTGCCGCATCGTGTTGATGTACGTGATCTCCGTCTATAATTGAGCAGTTCCTTTTGACTGATATGTTGATAGTCCTCGCCGTCACATGGAACTGAGCATGCCACTTAATCCCGATCCAATCCTCTCAGCTAGGCTCAAAGATTCGTCTCTGGCATGCTATGCAGACGAAACGGATCAGGCATTCAGTTGCGTGTGCTAGTAGTCGAAATCCCAGGCAAGCCTGTATGTGTCTCCTTCCAATTTCTTTACTCCTATTATATATCACATGAAAGCCAGCGGATAACACGTTGCATAGAATTCACGAGAATAATTTCGGTAAGAGGTGTATCAGGATTTCCCTGCCTGTGCAGCTTCGAGCATAAGATGACCTGCTGCAATCCATGTTGAACTGACTTCGTGCTGTCTATAGTGCGTAAGGGTCTGATGGATGCTTGTGGCGATACCTGTCATATCCGAGGTAGGGTTGTCTGGCAGTGCTGTCAATACCTACAGCAAGTAACGAAAATCCATGTGCCTACTATACAGCATTGCCAGCAACATCGGGAAATGCGAAGCTTGTTCCAGAAGAAGATGCTAATTACTAATGACTGCGTCAGCGGGGTCTGTAAGCGGAACGACACAGCGCTGGCAGACGCTGGCAGTTATTTTTGGTCTTGGGTATTTGACTAATAGGCAAGACAGTTTATAACGGTGACGACGTATGTGGAGAGACTGCTTAATCAACAATCATATTCAAAACCTTTATGGACGACGTAGACATACACTTGTTATGTAGGGTGCGGCACGGATGCAGTACGACGACGGCAAAATCCTAAATGAGGGACCTTCGTCCAGTGTTCTGCCGGTCAGTGAACCAAGGTCACGGTCATTGACCGGATTGCGTGGGAAAGCTGGCGAACTTCGTCGACGTTCATCTGAACACGACTGGAATCCAGGAGTTTCCTGGTCCTACTGTAACGAACTATACTATGTCTGGTCAATGCTAGAATCTTTGATTATCCTCGTGCCACTTCACATATCATTACTCACATAAACGCATGGTTTTCGTGTGTTCGGTTCAAGGGCACGCTTCAAGGCTTATAACTCGAAGATGGACTCCCGACTTTCGACATGCCAACTCGATGGTGAAGATCGGCAAGAGATCAAACCGAGGATGGTGGTGGGATCACTTCGTGGAGCACCCAGGTTATGCGCGCAGAGAAGGAGGTATGCTTCATCAAACTGATTCTTCCAAGTTCAGAAGACATTGCTAACAGTCCCCAGGGTGTTTCAGTCGATCCAATTGATATATGGACAGGACTGTCACATCCCGGTTCAGCACGTCGGCCACTTCATCCTATTGCCCAACGTCTTCTCTTGATTTGCCCGAATTCCGCCTCCAATGCACTCAGTCCCCGTTGGTGCTGCCAGTGCCAGTGGTTCATTCTCCCGCATTGCTATCAATGACTTACTCGACTATTCTTGTGCGGAGGAATGGTTGGGATCTTTTTATAAAGTCGCTATTCGAGGTTTAGATGCTGAGCTTGAGTTGTGCGAGCTTCTTGACTTAGATGCAGAGGGAATTGATGATCCAGACTTTCCTCAAGTTGATGATGTTCTTGACGAGTAGATTCAGAAAATGAGTAGTGCTACCAGATGTTATAGTAGTAGTAGTAGTAGTCGAGTACTATCCATTCTGCGATCGTTGACGCACCGTGTACTGCGGCACTTTGAACATTCACTCCTGCTTCGTCGTCCAATCAGACATGATTATCTAATATCCAAGCAGGACATCTGGCACTGCACGAGTTCAGTTCACTTGCATTCATGGGAAAGTTCGCAGCTGAACGTACGTTAACTTTGATAAACGTACACTGACCGGCAGAACACTGGGACGAAGGTCCCTCATTTAGGCTTCGTCGGACCGGCAACCAAGTGGAGCCGTGACGAATCTACCCTAGGCCCTGCCTATGTTCAGTGTTCACCGCCACTGGTACCGGTGATTCGCGATCGCTGGAGCTGAAATATCTCAATGTTTCAAGGGTCTGATCTAGGCGTGCTCGCAGCAAGTTGTTCCAGAACTCTATGTACGTAAGTATAATGCATACACGAGGTTTGTACATGCACGATTGAGCTGTGTCCTACACAGCTGCTAAGTACTCCTTCGACCCTCTACGTCTTATATTATTCCCTGGACCTCTTACCAGCCATCATCTAACCCACCCGACGAAAATGCTCTCTCTGTCAGTCAAGGCTTCCATCAAGGATTTCGATCTCGGCAAAGTATTCGCAGTTCGGTCGAAGCGCCCCACAAAGAACAGACGCACACAGTGCAGCTCGACAACCCACCACGAAGGCCATGACTCTATCTCTGCAGATATTCCTAGTGAGTTTCCCGTTTCTTCATCCATTCTCCATTCGAATTTATCGCTACTAGTGCACTCTGGATCTCTGGCGAGGGATCCAGGTCTCCAACTTGTCTCCATCAATATTTCCTCCGCCACAGCCTCCCATGGCGATTCCTTTTCCCGTGCAGCTTCTGACGGAGTCCAGACATTTTTACCAGTCGTCCAGGTCATTGCAAGTGCAATTCCAATCGCCGGTCCTCCTATGCAAGCCGCTATTGGTGGATTATTATCAATCCTTCAAATTATAGATGTGAGAGTTTATTTTATTATTATGATATTTCTTGATTCATATGCCATCACAGAGACGTAGTCAGAATAAAGCAGACCTAAATCGCCTGAGGGAACGACTTCAACGACTAGGCTCACATCTGTGCAACGCCCCGACCGCCCAGAATCCCTCCGAACAAGAGCGGAGGAATTCCATAATTAGGTATACACATTCTTGATGTGTTCTTGACGTTACCCTCATCGAGTGTGCTTAGGATTCTGCAAGAGACCTCTGTCCAGCTGACGAAGCTGCAAAAACGTCGTCCTGAACATGCATCCGTCACACAAGCTATCGCCGGATGCTCCATTGAGATCGACCGTTATTTGTTGGAGTCTTTGGTTGTTTCCTACTCTTTATAAATTACCATGATTCACTTACTACTGCGTTTGGCTAGTGGTCGTTCCAAATGGAAAGTCACTACGACACCCACCAAGGGTCGGCAATCCTACGGAGGCAGCAGGATTCCGTGGGACCCACCGCAACGCAGTTAACCGCGGCTGTCACACTTGGCTGTGTGAAACTGGTAGATGCGACAGGCTACGAACATGCGATATCAGTGACCTGTTGCACCTCATTTCAGGTCTGCCTCCCCAGCGTAAAATTTGTATTGGGAAGCTTGCTCATCAAATTCTCTTTAGCAACTCAATAAGATGCTCCAGGTTCTGTTCGAATGCAAGTCGATTGAAGCTCGAATTCAGAGACAGTATATGGAACAAGGACAATATGATTTGTGCATTGACGACGACAAGCAAGTGACCCGACTTACAAGCCATGTGCATGAATGGCCAAGAATTGAAGCAGGCACGACGATCGTCATGAGGATTGTCTTTGAACAGGATATAGACACTCAAGTTGAATACCAATGTTATATGTGCGGCACTGTCAATCGCATTGATGCCAAGCATTCGCTTCAACGTCAGGCTGGTTTCTCGATCAATTGGTGAGTATATTTGTCTTTTTGGGGCTGACAGCGCCTAACAACCAAAAGTCGAATATGCAAACGACGATTTCAGATCTCCCGCGAATACAGTTCAAAGCCCAAAACACAATTTTCCATTGACTACACTGAAGCAGAAACGCACCTCATTCGCAACTTTCATGTCCAACAAATGGTATGTGCCCATGGGACTTCCCTAGCCGTTTTAAACTGAAAGCGCAATAACTCTAACCCCAACCCGCACGCTGCTGGTGCTCTGGCCGCATCCCGCTGTTAGGAAGTATGTGTTCTCGTCTTTTGACCTGCTTCCCCGACGCTGATGGTGCTCTGGCCGTGTACCGCTGTCAGGAAGTGCGTGTTCTCGTCCTTTGACCCGCTTCCCCGACGCTAATGGTGCTCTGGCTGCGTCCTGCTCTCAGCGAGTGCGTGTTCTCGTCCTTTGACCTGCTTCCCAGATGCTGATGGTATGGTGCTCTGGCTGCGTCTCGCTCTCAGGGAGTGCGTTTTCTTGTCCTTTGACCTGCTTCCCCGACGCTGATGGTATGGTGCTCTGGCCGCGTCCCGCTCTCAGACAGTGCGTGTTCTCGTCTTTTGACCTGCTTCCCCGACGCTGATGGTGGTGTTGCTGCGTCCCGCTCTCAGGTAGTGCGTGTTCTGGTCTTTTGACCTGCTTCCCCGACGCTGATGGTGCTCTGGCCGCGTCCCACTCCCAGACAGTGCGTGTTCTGGTCTTTTGACCTGCTTCCCCGATGCTGATGGTGCTCTGGCCGCGTCCCGTTCTCAGGCAGTGCGTGTTCTCGTCCTTTGACCTACTTCCCCGATGCTGATGGTGCTCTTGGTGCGTCCCGCTCTAAGTTCGTGCGTGTTCTCGTCTTTTGACATGCTTCCCCGACGCTGATGGTGCTCTGGCCGTGTCCCGCTCTAAGTTCGTGCGTGTTCTCGTCTTTTGACCTGCTTCCCTGACGCTGATGGTATGGTGCTCTGGCCGTGTCCCGCTCTCAGCTAGTGCGTGTTCTCGTCCTTTGACCTGCTTCCCCGACGCTGATGGTGCTCTGGCCGCGTCCTGCTGTCAGGAAGTGCGTGTTCTCGTCCTTTGACCTGCTTCCCCGACGCTGATGGTATGGTGCTCTGGCTGCGTCCCGCTGTCAGCTAGTGCGTGTTCTCGTCCTTTGACCTGCTTCCCCGACGCTGATGGTATGGTGCTCTGGCTGCGTCCCGCTGTCAGCTAGTGCGTGTTCTCGTCCTTTGACCTGCTTCCCCGACGCTGATGGTGCTCTGGCCGTGTACCGCTGTCAGGAAGTGCGTGTTCTCGTCCTTTGACCTGCTTCCCCGACGCTGATGGTGCTCTGGCCGCGTCCCACTATCAGCAAGTGCGTGTTATCGTCTTTTGACCTGCTTCCCCGACGCTGATGGTGCTCTGGCCGCGTCCCGCTCTCAGAGAGTGCGTGTTCTGGTCTTTTGACCTGCTTCCCCGATGCTGATGGTGCTCTGGCCGCGTCCCGTTGTCAGCAAGTGCGTGTTCTGGTCTTTTGACCTGCTTCCCCGACGCTGATGGTGCTCTGGCCGCGTCCCGCTCTCAGAGAGTGCGTGTTCTTGTCTTTTGACCTGCTCACCCGACGCTAATGGTGGTGTTGCCGCGTCCGGCTCTCAGCCAGTGCGTGTTCTCGTCTTTTGACCCGCTTCCCCGATGCTGATGGTGCTCTGGCCGCATCCCACTCCTAGACAGTGCGTATTCTCGTCTTTTGACCTGCTTCCCCGACGATGATGGTGCTCTGTCCACGTCCCGTTCTCAGTATGTGCGTGTTCTCGTTCTTTGACCTCCTTACCTGATGCTGATGGTGCTCTGGCCGCGTCCCGCTCTCAGACAGTGCGTGTTCTCGTGTTTTGACCCGCTTCCCCGACGCTGATGGTGCTCTGGCCGTGTACCGCTGTCAGGAAGTGCGTGTTCTCGTCTTTTGACCTGCTTCTCCGATGTTGATGGTGCTCTGGCTGCGTCCCGCTGTCAGCTAGTGCGTGTTCTCATCATTTGACCTGCTTCCCCGACGCTGATGGTGCTCTGGCCGCGTGCTGCTCTCAGCTAGTGCGTGTTATCGTCTTTTGACCTGCTTCCCCGACGCTGATGGTGCTCTGGCCGCGTCCCGCTGTCAGCAAGTGCGTGTTCTCGTCCTTTGACCTGCTTCCCCGACGCTGATGGTATGATGCTCTGGCCGCGTCCCGCTCTCAGCATGTGTGTGTTCTCGTCTTTTGACCTGCTTCTCCGATGCTGATGGTGCTCTTGGTGCGTCCCGCTCTAAGATCGTGCGTGTTCTCGTCCTTTGACCTGCTTCCCCAACGCTGATGATGCTCTGGCCGCGTCCTGCTGTCAGCAAGTGCGTGTTCTCGTTCTTTGACCTGCTTCCCCGACGCTGATGGTGGTGTCGCCGTGTAGCGCTGTCAGGAAGTGCGTGTTCTGGTCTTTTGACCTGCTCACCCGACGCTGATGGTATCGCCGCGTCCCGCTCTAAGATCGTGCGTGTTCTCATATTTTGACCTGCTTCCCCGACGCTGATGGTGCTCTGGCCGTGTCCTGCTCTCAGCGAGTGCGTGTTCTCGTCTTTTAGGTCGCTTATCCGATTATGATGCTTTGACAAAGTCCCTCTCTGTCAATGTAACAGCGCGTGTTTTTAATGCTAACGGTGCTTCAGCAACGCCCTATTTTCATAGGGTGTGTGCTGTCGTCTGTTTCAAATGTTTACTTTTTTTTGACTTCAACGCGTTCAGAATGAATTCCTCCACGATAGCCCAACCCAACCCAGTCAAGTTTCACCCTCACATGGAACGTGACATTATCTTTCCTAGTGAATAACCTCATCTAACTTTTTGCACTGCGCTGTCAGATGGTGCGTGTTTTCATATTACGTATGTCTTTGAGCTGATTGTGAGTAGCAGAGTATGGGTGTAACCGTATTGAGGAAATCTAGGAAGACTGTAACAATGCTTGCGATGAGGATGGAGCGCGCTTCCAGCCGACGATGGGGACTCGGAGGATTATAAGGAATGGGAGGACGGGGAGGACCATGAGGAGACAGTGTTTTATGGCGAACTTTGAACATGGCAGTATATTGCTAGCCCCTGTACAACTGCAGATTCAGCTTCATGTGCTTCGATGTTTGTTTCCCTATGTATATGAACAGAATCATCTTCAGGTGAACTTGGAGTGTTCAAGCTCAAGATTAAGTACTCTGTTTGAAATACATGTCAAACACTCTGCTGTACATGCCTCGCGTTTTTTTTGCCGCCATCACCTTGTCCTGACCTTTCAATATTCAATGTTGTATCCTGAGCAATAACTTCAGAGATCTATAAAGTATATTCATTTGAATTCTTGAAGTCGCGCGCAATCATGCACATTTCACGACAGCAATTGCGTCTGCTGTGCATATCGATCGAATGATGTCACGCCAGCCTCAGCCTCGGACAGATTGATGTTGGGATATCCGGAGTTCAACGTCAACGTTCAATATAATGCCCGTACTGGTACTCATGCATCATGCATCATGCTGAAGCCGTCGCTCACATTATTGTTTCCATGATCGCTTGCATTGATCAATCCTGTTGTGGGACGACGTCAACGGGCAGCTCGAATGAAATCATTTGCGGTTCGCGACCACCATATCACAGGGGCATATCAAAACCTGGACCAAGGATCCAAGTACTCCTTTTGAATGATCATCAACCCATTGGAATGAGGAACCATGCCATGTACTCGCGTAACGTTCTTTCTTTCCACGAGGCTCCGAGTTTGTTGCAAAAAAATGAAGAGTGGGCAGAATACGTCGTTTATTTGTGTCATGACTTTGATAGTGCGTACAACAGTACGTAGTGTCATAAGCTAATAGCGTAGAGTCACCAAGCAGACACCAGAGTCGTTTTTACTTGATCCCTGGTCCGATGTGACAAAGGCTAATTTACATAGCAATATCTGCCGCTGTCCCGGGGAAACCGTGCTTTTCGAACCTAGGCGGTGGGTAGATATCGATTAGACAAGGTGTAAGTCTTGGTAAAATTGGGAAAACGCATGAGTTGAGCGGAAGATCGCAGTTGCGATGTTGCATCACCTACTAGTATAACCTGATATAAAACGCGTGAAAATTGCTTCTCGCAGATGAGAATTTATCCAATGTGTAGTTCCAAGAAATGTCGAGCATGGTTTCATCGCGGAAGGAGACTTGAGCCTCAAAAGGGGGACTTCGACTGGGACCGGGTCGAACGTTCAACGCACTGCACTGCGGCTGATCTGAGCGGAGTTCAGCGCTGCAGCAAGCCCAACAAGTCACTCTGCCAAATTACGTGAGAATCAAGGACGCTCTTCGAATTCAGCTCGAGGTCCATCGCATCATTTGTCAGGTAAATCATGTGAACTTATCAATCAAGTTTGCTGTCTAAATTTTGATACAGAGTTCAAAGTTGAACTTGCGGCACTTGCCTTACATTTCCCGCCATCGTCTGTCAACCCCACCGGCGGTATGAGGCCACCATGACAGTTGCAAAATCCTGGAGAGCGTAGCACCGAACTCCTTCACATCCAACGACCCCACAAGAATGTTAACTTCTGGATCAGTTCATATCCAGGTAGCTCCACTCCATATCTGCACGATAATGCAATTGGCTATGCAGGTTGCACAATATTTTTTCAAACGAACACTAAGTCAGGCACATCGTAAGTAACGCCTTCGTTCGCTCAAGTTAGATTTCACTCAAATCCAGTTAAGCATCAATAGGTGTGCGACGTGACGTGTTTTCCGAGTCAGGGACCTTAGTATTGTTGTCAAGTTTGCACGATAGGGTTTTCCGGACCGCCGTTTCTTGCTACTTCAATGGCTTCGGAGGTGAGCATTATTCCCAGAGATGTGACACCACGGGCTCCCGCAGACTCCCGCACGTGCCTCTATTGTACAAGGCCCAAGTGTTGAAACATTCCCACCACATAATTCCCAGAATTGTCATTCTTGCGACCCCACGGGTCGAGATTAAAATGATGCGGGTCGCAGTCAAAGCCAAAGTCTTGACTGTGTTTAGTGGCAGTCATCAGCTTCAGGGAATCGTACGCTGACCTGCTTGCCATTCCTTCTTAAGACGGTTTATCTCCACTATGGCATCATCAAATCCAAAGGTGTGGTTTGGTAAGCATGGGATATCTCGGTGGCCCGAAAACGCTAATCGTCGTTGCTAGTCACTGGGGCGTCTTCGGGTTTTGGTCGAGCAGTTACCGAAGTCATGCTTCAGAGAGGAGACAATGTTGTTGCGACTCTGCGGAAACCTGCTATGCTAAATGACCTCGCAAATGTGTACTCACAGAATCGGCTTCTCATCTTGCCTCTGGATGTCACAGTTCCTTCTGAAATCAGTACCGCTTTTCTCAAAGCGCGCGAGGCATTTGGCCGCATCGACATTGTTTTCAACAATGCGGGACTATGCATAATCGGTGAAGCGGAAGGCATGCCTGATGACGACGCAAAGCTCTTGTTCGATACATTGTTTTGGGGTGCCGCAAATGTGACGAAAGAAGCTGTGACAACGTTTAGAGATTTCAACCAACCCCCTGGGGGACGCCTCTTGCAAATGTCGTCTCGCGGAGTCCTGCGAGTTATTCCAGGGGTGGCGCACTACGCCGCAGCGTACGTGACGCCTTCTCACTCATCGTTTTAACTGACATTTGCATAGTAAAGCAGGTATATACAATCCAGTTATTCTTGATTCAAGAGATTTAGATTTAATCGCAAACAGCTCTTGAATCTCTTTCGGAAGGGTATGCTGCTGAGTTGGATCCAGCATGGAACATTAAGGTGCGTTCTACGCACGATACTAATTTCGAACTCGAAGTCATCATCCACAGATCACTGTTATTCAACCTGCTCGCTTCCGTACTGCTGCACCGTGGACCAATGTTCTCGTGCCAGTCCATCCTGCGTACTCTGATCCAAATTTACCTTCTAGACAGTACCGCAGCATATATCCAGGAGCTGAACATTTTTCAGACGGAGACATCTACAAGTTTGCAGCCCAGATTCATAGGCTCGTGCAACTAGAAGATCCCCCGTTTTATCTCCCGTTGCACAGAACAGCGTTGGAAGCGGCAAAGATCAAAGGCCAAAAGTTGTTGCAAGCTGTCGAAGATTACGGTAGTTGGTCAGATGATGTATATCTCGACGAGGAAAACTGTCAGGGGCGAGCATGATTTTGTAAACTTGTTGCATGCGCTGATTTTCGACATGCACAGTTTGCATGTGTCCTTGAGGGATGCTCAATTCTAAAATGTTGTTATCGTGCGGGACCCGGGCACCGACTTAAGCCTATCTTGAACGGGACTACAATGTGCCTAAACCTTAATTCTAGTAATCCATGATGTGATGGCTTAAAATGGGACATCCAGCTGACTTCACGAAATCGAATGAAGCATTCAATTTCCACTTTCATTCGCTTCGTTATCTATCAAAGAGCTCTATCATGATCAGGTGGGCGCCGGTTTAATATCCCTTCCTCATAAGGCTCAGCTTCGTGATCACTATGAGTGTCCACATATCCATCTTCTGCCCAAGCTCAGTTTGAGAATACGTCGTCAGGTAATGACCTCCCCGAAAGTTTGGTTTAGTTGGTTTGTTTCTATAGCTGGGCAGGAAACAAAACTAACAACTTCCTCTGCATTCAGTCACTGGTACATCGACTGGTCTAGGGCGAGAGGTTGCTGAATACGCTTTGAGCAAAGGAGACAACGTATTCGCCACCCTGCGCAAGCCTTCGATGTTGGAAGACCTCACAGCTAAATATCCCTCCTCCCGCCTCGTCACTTTCCTGCTCGATGTAACAGATACACCCTCGATTACCACGGCATTCAATGAGGCCCTCTCACACTTCAATCGTATCGACATCGTGCTGAACAACGCAGGATACTATATGGTATCAGAAGTTGAAGGCATGCCTCACAAGGCAGCACGAGAGATGTTTGATGTGCTGCTTTGGGGTGCGGAAAATGTCATGCGTGAAGCCATACGATGCTTCAGGGACGTAAATCGTCCAGTGGGCGGGTGGTTATTGAACCTTTCTTCCCGGACAGCCATCATTCCACAGCCTGGCACTGTGCACTATGCTTCAGCGTGAGTTGACATATTCTGCACAGTTTGCCTCGTAAACTGACATTCGAATGATAGAAAAGCTGGTAGGTTCTCGATTTCATCTCATGGTTTTGAAGTCCAACTGGGCATTACTAGCTTTGGAGTGTTTGTCGGAAGGGTATATCAGCGAACTTGACCCAGAGTGGGACATCAAAGTCGGTCGCTTGTATTTTCGGTGTTGGAAAGTAATTTATCTCGATAAAGATCACTCTAATTGAGCCAGGTTTGTTTCGCACATCGGTAGTCCAAAACCATGTGGCGGAACCCGTTCACCCCGCTTATGCATCCAATGCATCCCTTCCTACGCGCAAATACCGAGCTCTCTATCCCGACATCGAGAAGACTCATTTTGACGGCGATCCGGCCAAGTTTGCAGAAGTGGTCTACAAGTTGTCCCGTTTGGATGAACCCCCAGTGCGCCTCCCTTTGCATAGGGTCGCCTTGGAATCTGCGAGACAAAAGGGGGAATCATTGCTCGAAGCTGCCGAGAAGTGGTCTAGTTGGTCGGACGATGTGTATTTTCATAATTGAACGGACTACAATGTGCCTAAACCTTAATTCTAGTAATCTATGATGCTCAAAATGGGACATTCAGCTGACTTCGCGAAATCGATTAATGAAGCATATAATTTCCGCTTTGAGTCGTTTCGCTATATAAAGAGCTCTATCATGATCAGATGGGCGCCGGTTTACTATCCCTTCCTCAGAGTCATAAGGCTCAGTTTTGTGATCACTACGAATGTCCACATATCCATCTTCTGCAGATTAATCCCAAGCTCAGTCTCGTCAAACAATGTCCTCCCCAAATGTTTGGTTTAGTTGGTTTGTTTCTATAACTGAGCAGGAAACAAAGCTAACAACTTTCTTTACGCATTCAGTCACTGGTGCATCGACTGGTCTAGGACGAGAGGTTGCTGAATACGCTTTGACCAAAGGAGACAACGTATTCGCTACCCTGCGCAAGCCCTCGATGTTGGAAGACCTCACTGCTAGATATCCCTCCTCCCGCCTCGTCACTTTCATGCTCGATGTAACAGATACACCCTCGATCACCACGGCATTCAATGAGGCCCTCTCACACTTTAATCGTATCGACATCGTGCTGAACAACGCAGGATACTGCGTGGTATCAGAAGCTGAAGGCGCGTCCCACAAGGCAGCACGAGAGATGTTCGATGTGCTGCTTTGGGGTGCAGAAAATGTCATGCGCGAAGCCATACGATGCTTCAGGGACATAAATCGTCCAGTGGGCGGGCGATTATTGAACCTTTCTTCACGGACAGCCATCATTCCACAGCCTGGCACTGTACACTATGCTGCAGCGTGAGTTCGCATATTCTGCACATTTTACTTCGTAAGCTCACATTCGAATGATAGAAAAGCTGGTAGGCTCTCAATTTCATCTTATGTTTTTGAAGTCCAACTGAGCATTTACTAGCTTTGGAATGTTTGTCGGAAGGTATATTAGCGAACTTGACCCAGAGTGGAATATCAAAGTAGGTCGCTTGTATTTCCGGTGTTAGAAAATAATTTATCTCGATAAAGATCACTCTAATTGAGCCAGGTTTGTTTCGTACGTCGGTAATCCAAAACGTTGTGGCGGAACCCATTCACCCAGCTTATGCATCTAATGCATCCCTTCCTACGCGCAAATACCGTGCTCTCTATCCTGACATCGAGAAGACACATTTTGACGGCGATCCGGCCAAGTTTGCAGAAGTGGTCTATAAGTTGTCTCGTTTGGATGAACCTCCAGTGCGTCTCCCTTTGCATAGGGTCGCCTTGGAATCTGCTAGACAGAAGGGGGAATCATTGCTCGAAGCTGCTGAGAAGTGGTCTAGTTGGTCGGACGATGTGTACTTTCGTAATTGAACGAAAACCAGTGTCACATATTGCCATGTGTCGCATGTATCGGTTCCAAGTACATATACACTATCGAGAATGTTTTAGGATATACTCCATCATAGTCCGAAGCGCATTACTATCGATACATGCCTCCATGCCCTGGGTAGCCATAGCCTTTGTTAGGACTACCATAGAAACTACCCGCCGTACCTCGTGATAGTCCTCCTACTGCCCCTCCAACGAAGCCTCCTGGTCCTCCAGGACTGCCCATAGGGTTAGCGTATGTATTCATACCCGGCTCAGCACTCCGCGCACGCCTATCATGGCGTTTATTATGTCTGCTAGATGACCTGTGGCGTCTTCGGGGCAACTGGATGACAGTCGTACTGCCTGGATAGGCGGACACCGTTGTGACGCTCGGGGCGCCAGTGTATGGCGAAGACGCGCCGTAAATGGGTGGTACATGTACCGGGGATGCCCCTCCATATCCAGAGGACCCAGCACCATAGGGAGAATAACCACCTCCGTGCGTCTTTGCAAGTCCCATTCCATTCCCGCTTGCTAGTAGGGGGCTCTTACCACCATAAATTGAAGGGCTCGCTCCTACGCCCATACTAGGTGCAGTGGCCAAGTAAGGCGAGCTCCCACGCATAACCGTTCCCGCTCTGGAGCTATGTGCTCGTGTAGGGTCATATAAGGGTGGCATCGAGAGCCGCCTGTGTCTACCGATGCTCTGACTGAAGTATGGTGCGTCATGGTCGATGGCATGTGGGTCAATCCCACCAGCCATGCCAGAACCTGTCATCCCGGGTGTTCCGAATCCTGAACCGTATGCGCCAACATCCATTTTGGAATCGTACCCCATCCCTGCGCCGTGACCTAGTACATCACCTCCGGCGGGACCCGACATGTTCTATGATAGTATTGTATCAGTATCGGTGCGATTAGTCAACAGCCCATGGAATAGCTGTCCAGATGATCAAACATACGAATACTGACTTCATCGAATATATGTGATGCAGTCGCTGCTGCAGCTTCGCACGCTGGCATACAACCGTCCACATCAACCGGGCGTGCGATCATGTACATCCTGATAGCTAGACGACAAATATTGTTGGTTGTGAAGAAGAAAATACTGGCGAGAATTAATACCTTCTGCAACGGCAAGCCCTATGAATGCTTCTCGTTGGCGCTCAATTTCTGCGCGAAAAGGCTCATAAAGCGCATGGTTGTGAATCCAGATTCGGTGCGCTTCGTAGGCCGAGGCATATCCGATTTCTTGGGGAGTCAGCGCATTGATTGCACACTGGTGATGTATTTATCTCGCTCAATTGGTGGACTCGATAGAAGATATGCCTTACAAGACCACCGTATGCCCGTCGGTGCCATATACGAGCCTCATTGATACCTACACCCACGGGAGTCATATCTGCATTAGAGATTCTGCCATACACCTGATTGAAGATCGCACTAAGATAAAGTGTAAGTGGCCATGCTTTGGAGTGGGTCGTGGTTGTTCTTACGGGTCTATATGTGGGGCGTGTGCTCTGAAATAATCATATCCACCCCCTACGCTCAACCGCTGAGTTCTTACGAAAAAGATATCGGTACACGACGTAGAACTTACAAGAAGGTTGTGGCTGAAACTGAATCGGGGGAGGACGGCCAAATTGTAGCTGTTTCTCTTATTCAATAAGGCCCAGTGCTCGAGGTAATCGACTCACTTGGTTGCTTCCCCATCCATGTAGAGTTGACTGGTAATAAGGGTAGGACATTGGTGAAAAGTGCGAATTGATGCGAAGCAAGGGACGTGCAGCCCCACAGCATACTCGCAGCTATTTAATAAGATACACCATGAGCATGACATCACCGCTGGTATTACGCCAAATCGAAGGTGACCGTGGAGTGTGCACAGTTGATCTTGTGGAGCATTTTGTGATATCCTGTCTATAAAAAAACTCGAAGTCACAATCATCGATAAACAAGTACTGGTAAAGAAATCACTGCGAAGGGCTGCTGAGCTCTACTTGATTGCAAACATGCGTAGAAAACCGTCGATTTCTTACCGTTGGACTGCTAAGCTGCTCCTGGCACTCTGAGCTAGTTGAGGCTGAGGCCTCGAGGAATCGCCCTATACTACATGAATCTCTGTCGGAGGGGCAGATGCACCTGGAAAAAAAGTATTTCTCGCCATAGTGCCCACAAGCCGTTTGGTCTTTCTCTTGAAGTCGATATAAGCTAACGCATCTTTACGGAGGAAGTTCACTTCTGGTTGTTGCGTTACATTCGTGCCGATGTGCTCCTCGCGCTCCATGATATATATCCTTGTAATCCGGGAATGCTTTGCGCGTAGGCCGATTGGGTTTGACACCTATAAATTATATCGACAAATCACGTCCACAACGGAGACAAGAGCACGTATTCCGTCAACCTTAAGCTTAATCTCTTGAAGACAAGCCTGGGCAAGGCGCGAATCGTTGTTTGCTGCAACGCTGGAGGTGCACTTCGACCCCGACGGCGCGTTCCCACGTCATGTTCCCGTGCTCTCCCTAATTATCCTACAACTTCGAAGTGACTAGTGACCCTATCGCTGGGTGAGCTAACCGCCTCTTTAACCTTCATACGACTTGCGCTCAAGCCTTGGACACAAATCAAGAAGGACTCGAATCCGGTGGAATCGATTGTGATTGGCTCAACCGTCTGGCAGTCCAAAGGTGAAGTAACATTTTATGTCGCTGTAAGGCTGACTATGAGAACGAAGGGAAAAGTGAACAAACGATGTAGTTTCGAGATGTATAGTTAGATAGCGAAGTGAGAGCAAGACGAGACTTTCGAAAGGCGGAGATCTTTTGAAGTATTCGGACGTGTCTGGAGTGGGGAATCAGCGCATGAGATTCTGCTAAGTCAGGTGTGTGAATGTGCATAGGACACTTACAATCGCGAGACGGTAAGGGTCCTCGGGTATGACTAGGCCGAACGATAATGTGAAACGTAGACGCAAAGTGGGTGGCGTTGAACCTGACAGGGTAAGGTAGTGAAACAGGAGAGAGTACGAGAAACTGAAAGAGTGACGGTATGAAAGGTTTCGGTTTGGACAGAATGACGAGACTCGCATAATGTTTTGACAGATTTTCGGAACGGAGAACTGAGAATGGGGCAAACAGTAACGAGAGGAAGGGACTGAAGGATGATAGTAGTAGTGAAAGTTTGGAATAGATAACGAATGCTAAGCGCTAAGCGGCGTTGGAATGTATCCGCGTGACTCAGATGCGAGAAGCGCATCAGTGAGTCACGTGGACGGTACGGACGAACGGGTCGGTTTCGGGGCGTAGAGGATATATATACTACTTGTATACTACCCTTACATCATCACTAGTACTGGCTGGCGACACTCAGGCTGTAGTCGCATCAGGGGACTGGTGAGCCGCAGATATTAGAATATAAAGTCATATAAAGCCATGTATAACGTCGGAAAATCACCGCAATCAACGTAAAGCACCCTGGGGAGACTCGCGAGTTCTCTGATGGCCCAGTCATGCACTGGGGCAATGCACTAATTTATACGTACGCCGAGTCCGGAAATGTCGTAACACTGGTACTGCCTTTGAGCTTATCTACAGCATTCTACGATGAGTGAGTGTGTGAAGGGTCCCCATGGATAATTTATAAAGCTTGCCAAAAAAAACGGCGACTCAGACGTACCCGGTGCGAAGCCTTGCCACTGATGTCAGTATGTTTCTATTATCTAACATAGTTGTCACACATTTGGTTGCTGATCTTCATTGGTACATAAGGTCAAATTTACCGAACCGTGCTTATAAGACTCCATGCGAGCCTATTAGATCACAATGGGCCAGTCAAGAGACGAAAAGTCGCTTTTGGGCAACGTATGTCCATGAAGCAGCTGAGCATGATGGACAAATTCTCGACAAGTACAAAAGCGACATGGACATCGTTCTAATATTCGTGCGTCTTTTACCTTAGCACCACTCCTTTTCTTACTAATTTACTCGATATCGGATACACATACCCATTGTTGTTATAGGCGGGTCTTTTCTCCGCCGTTACTACCTCCTTCATTGTCAATATGCATCAAAACTTAGCTCCTGATCCAACTACGGAAACCAACATGCTTCTCAAGAAGCTGATTCATACAGTTAACAATTCAACATTTTTGGACGACAATTTCGACACACCACCATGGACTGGTCCTGGCTCCACCGAAATATGGGTTCAGTCACTCATATATGTAAGTCTATCTGCGAGCCTTCTTGCAGCACTGGGAGCAATGCTGGGCAAGCAATGGCTCAACCATTTCCAACACGTTGGTCACGGAACGGTTGATGGTCGTGGAAGGCGACGGCAACGAAAGCTTGATGCTTTATACGCCTGGCATTTCAACGCTGTTCTGGAAGGCCTTCCCATCCTGTTGCAGTTGTCCTTATTGCTGTTTGGGGTTGCTCTCGGTGCAAACCTATGGACAGAACAACGCATGGTCGCCTGCATTGTCATTGGCACAACCACATCTGGAGCCGTTTTCTATGCGCTAATTGTTGTCGCCGCATTGATATCTGACGTGTGTCCATTTCAAACACCAGCATCTAATCGACTTCGCAGTATCGGTCAGCGTGTTGTCCGCTTCCACAACGCTCTTCAGAAGAGAAATCAGACCATCCTTTCATCATTCTTGCGCTTCGTCGGCTATATCCCCTATACCATAATAACTTCACTTCACTCATTCGCATCATGCATTTCTCACCGGCTTTCCTCTCAATACACCATCACAAATACGGATGCCCCTTGTATCCGATGGTTGCTTGAGACCTCCGATGACCCAGATGTAATTACCACTGCCGCCAGCCTGGTTCCTGAGGTCGAGTGGCCACCAGATTTGGATGTATCGTGTGCCTTGCTCAGGCTGCGAGACACTTTCCTGAATTGCTTCGAGAACACACAGTATGATCAACCGAAACTTTCTGACTTTAGCCGAGATTGTGCGATTGCATGTGGGAAGGCCTTCTTACATCTCTACATCGAAAGGCGGTCATTGGATGCCAGACCTGTCTTTCTGCGTGCCACTCATGATCCAGAATTCGCACCTACCAGCTCCTCTCGTCTGCATGATGTCCATTGGCTAACGTGGACTCGTCAAAATGACCCCGAACTCTCTTTCATCTGCGACCTCATCCTCGAGACAGTGCTGGATCTTGGTGTCAGCACACCCATTTCGCTTGGAAACCCGAAAATTCCGAACACCTTTCTGATGTGGATGTCTCATCCCCTACTCCATTGTCTCAGTGCAGACCAGTATGCAAGGTTTTGGAGGCGACGTGCATTGGATGTAGTAGAGAGGCTACTTGTGCCGCCCTTACCCCCTACGAATGTCATAGCAAACTGCCTTATGGCGGCAGGTTTGCTTCTGGATCAACCCGTTGATCCAAGTCAACTAATCAGCACACACAAGGGGTAAGAAACTTTTTGACGTCATGTGAAGCTTTCAAGTGACCCATAATTGTACAGGTCATCGATTAAAACATTGCTTGTATCTGTCCTCAAGAGCATGCAGCAAGCCATTGGCATTGACATCCATCTAGAGCTTCGCGAGCGCTCATCTCTTTACGCTCTGAAACTTCTACAACCTCTGGCGGCTGTTTTAGAAGTCGAGCAGTTTCGCCAAACAGCGTACGATTTGGGAATGCCCGATTGGGGTGTTCGACTGTGTCAAAGCTTTGTCGACATAGTACTTCATCATCCGGAACTCTGCAGACCAGAAGCACGTGAAAAGGCTTGGGTGGCCGCTCGCGATGCGCTGCATTTTAGTGTGATCACTGCTAGGAGTGGCGATAGCGGCCCGGCTGATGATCAAACCGCTTATACGGAAGAGATTTCTCGTCTCCGCACGACCAGGAATGCTGGTTGCGGCTGGCTTCTTGATTATATCAGGCATCACCATTTGATCTCTCATCAGTCAGCGCTCACTGACGCATTCCTCACGATGAGCGAAATGAACATCGACGCTGCATGCAGAGAGAAGATGCCGACCTATATCAACGCAATGATTTTTGCGATGGCCCCGGAAAAGTCACCACGGCTTCGCAAGGCTGCGTTTCGCGCCGCGTATTCATCAAGGAACTTTCTTGCATCGCTAGACATCAATTCTCTCTCCCAGGATCTCTGCGCTCAATTTTCGGCGGCGCTTTCTAGCGTCACTGGTGACAGTATATCCTTTGGTCAGGGCGAGGACGGCATTCTTTCTGAATATTCCAGCATGTACGGGAAGCAAAACCTTCGTTATTTGCACATCTTGTTCTCGTGGACTCAAAGTAAACTATGGTCCCATCACCTCTATGATGGTGGACACCTCGAGGCATGCCTACTCATCGCACAAAACCTTCGTTACTTCGAAATATACCCTCTCACAGAACATCTCGCCTTGTACATCATTGCAATTATGGCCCGACTACAGTCGGAAGGAGAACACGGCAATCTCATCCCAAACGATCTTTGTGGCCTACTTGTACACAAGGCTTGGGCATCTGTTGCCCTTCGTTCTCTAAAGCCGCTCAAGTTGTCGGAATCCGTCATACATGAAGTCCTCGAACCACTTGCAGAGCTCACAATTCAGCTACTGAAACGTGATGCGGAGCTTGTCGATGTCACAAGCGAGTTCAAGTCACGTGTACTGCAGACACTGCACCACTTGGAACAAGGTCCAGCGGACAGTGTAATGTTATCGCTGGTCAAGAATGTTGTATCACTGGTCACTACATGAGCTACCCGTGGGCGAATGGGTATTTTAGTACCTTGGCTTAATTGTTGATGTATGTTGTTTGCCGATGTAACTGTATGTATCTCAATGCCGCAGGTCAAATTGTATAGGGCAGTTCCGAATCGTTACGTACATCATGATCAGTGGCCAATCAGTGGCACTGCATCTTTATTTTAACAACGTCATCCACGTTCAAGTCGTTCCTGTGTAAATGACATGGCACAGCTCATGCATATGAGGACCTCTCCAGTCAGTATGAACCGCCCTGCTTCAAGTTTGTTGCACAGGTTCACGCAATGCCAAGCGCATTTAGTATTTATATAAGAGCGATACATTAACTTGATCCTCCACATTCCGAACAAGACGGTCAACTATAACCTCACTTGCCACCACGACAGATGCCGAGTCAAGATGCTGGCACACAAGCAAATGGTGACCGCACAGAGTATGTTCCTCCGCAACAGTTCCGCTTGTCGACTCAAAAAAATTCAAATTTCCAGGGCTCCAGAGCTTCCTCAGAATTTGAGACCATCCGTAGAAACTATGCAGTTCCCCCATCCATCGCAGTCCCAAGGCGACGGGAAAGACACCAAATCCCGCTTCTGGGCCACCTATACACGGGAAGCGACGGACCATGATGGAGAATTTCTTGAGAAGTATCAGTCAGACATGGATATCGTTCTTATATTCGTCAGAACCCTTTCTTTGTCCTCGCTCCGTCTCATCTGAACTTGAATCACAGGCTGGTTTGTTTTCAGCCGTCAATACGTCGTTTATCATAAACATGCAGTCGAATCTCAGCCCTGATCCATTCTACACTACAAATGTGTTGCTTGGAATGCTGCTCCAGACTGCCAACTCCTCGTTCGTCCCACCGTTGAATCAACCCTACGCACCGTGGCAGGGACCTAGTACCTTAGTAATCTGGATCCAGTCGTTGACTTACGCCAGTCTTTGCGCAAGCCTACTTGCTGCCCTTGGAGCTGTGCTAGGGAAGCAATGGCTGAGCAACTTCAAACGCTCTGGCCGTGGTACCATTGACAATCGAGGTCGACAAAGGCAGATGAAACTCGATGGTCTTCGGACTTGGCATTTTGATGCTGTGTTGGAGTTCTTGCCCTCACTCTTGCAGATCTCTCTCCTCCTTTTTGGGATCGCATTGTCTGCTAACTTGTGGATAATGTCGCGCACAATTGCTGCCATCGTCATCACATCCACATCGCTTGGCTTCACATTCTATCTAACGATCGTCCTGGCATCACTCATGGCTGCCGATTGCCCTTTCCAGACACCAGGATCGATCACTCTTCGTGCTTTGGGTCGGTCTGTCCTCCATTACTATCCCTCATTGCAGGAACGTCGTCGACATTTCAGAAAAGCCTGTCTAAGTTTCGCTCTTTACGTCCCATTCAAGATCGTTGACACCCTGAACACTATCTCGCAACGACTCACGCCTTCCGTCTCTATTGCACAGCAAACAGATGCTCCGTGTATCAGGTGGATCATCGACTCATCCAGTGACCCCGATATTATCACAACTGCGGCAAGCTTTGTTCCTGAGGTGGAATGGCCACCTGAGTTTGAGATATCCACTCTTCTTCTGCAACTTTTCGACACATTTCTTGGTTGTTTCGAAAACACTCACCTCGAGCAACTGGTGCTTGTTCCACCTAGACGGGAACATGCAATCGCTTGCGGAAAGGCATTCTTGCACCTATACATAGAGAGAAATTCTTTCCAAAATTTTAAAGGCTCTCCATTCCAAGTCGCTGTCTCCGAAAAGGACATCCGCAAGCTCATATGGGTACATCACAGCGATCATGAGATATCATTCATTTGCTATCTTATTTTCGAGGTGGTCCTGGATAGGGATTCTCCAACACGCCTTTATCAACCCAAGATACCGGACACCTTCCTTTGCTGGATGTCACATCCACTCCTTCATCGCCTCAATGATTCGCGCTACTCTTCCTTTTGGCATGAGCGAGCCCTGGATGCCATCGCAAGAATTCTCGTAAACCCACTTCCTCCAAAAAATGTACTCGCCAACTGCTTTATGGCCGGAAGAATGCTTCTTGATCAATCTACCAGTTGCAATGCGATTTCGAAGGTCACCAAAAGGTCCATTCAGTTCTTTTCAAGTCCATGTATGTACTGACAACCCATGATACATAGCTCCACCACCGCACTTGACATCTTGCTAGAGCATATCATGAGGCCAGAGTCTCGTGGACAGTCCGCAATTGTGCTGAGACTATTAGGACCATTAGGTGTGGTCCTCGAATTAGATGAGTACCGCCAAATCGCAAAACAGCGTCGTGCTGCGGAGTGGGGACTCGAAGTATGCAAAACCTTCGTCAGGACTGCTGGACAGAACCAAGATGCCCAGGACGCAATCTGGAACGACGCTCGTTCCGTACTACACTTCACCGTTATCGTGGCCGGTGGTGGTCCCATCAACCACAGTGATGCAGGATTAGCGTGGCAGAAGGGGCCATCTCGGTTATCGCTTCAACCGCCCGCTGATTGTGGTTGGCTCATCGACTACATCATGCATTACCACGATTCTGATCACATCGCTGTCATTGACGCTATGATAGTACTGAGCCAGTTACCTCAGGTCACATTTAACTCATCCAGGACCCCAATGATGGTCAAAGTTTTGGCGTCTTCTCTGGGTTTAGAACAGCCGTCCGCCCTTCGAGATGCCGCTCTCCGTGCTGCTCATGCGTGCAGGAAAATCATCTTCGTTTACAATTTTATGCCGGCCAAACGGCTTCAAGAGTTCTCTGACGCTCTTCATTCCACTCTCATCGAGAGCGAGTCCCCACGACAACACCTGCTTTGTCTGCAAATCTTGTATTCTTGTACCAAAAGCGAGGCATGGAGGGCTCACATACTCGAAAAATATCATAGCCACTGTCTTCATCTCGCCAATAATTTCCCTGTTGATCCTCTGTCATCCGACCACCTTGCACTCTACATCATTGCGAATCTGCAAGCGATGCAAGAATTATCTGACCTCCCACTTGACCTCCCGGACGCCAGTTCTTGCCAAAAGCTTGTCCAAAAAGCTTGGCATTCTCTGGTTGCTCGACAAATCGGACACTTAACGGAGACCGTCGAGCACCTGAGTACCTTTACTGGGCACCGCTTAAATGAAGGCATGATCCTTGGTACAGAAGATTGGATTTCTTGCATCGGGCAGGCTCTCGGTCAATTGAGACTGGCTGGTTCTGACTTTCAAGCGGTGAACGATCTGTTGCTATATATTACGACTCCACGGGATTCTGGTAGTTGACACTGATGCGATACATTTATGTAACTGTGTTTTTTATGTAAGTTGCAGGGGGACTGTGAACTCTGGGAAGGGAAATTTATGTTGTGCCATCCACTACTAGACGCTGGATTCGCTTCTGGCTCTTTATTTGTTGCGCTTCTACTGAGTATACCCATGGTTACATCAGTAATATATCCCGCTCGTTTTGTTGTATTACAAAAGCCCCGACATGCTCACATGCGCACTCGTGAAGAGGTGGGTATTGTTGTTGAGACTGCGCAGCATCCTTCGTGTGGTACAGACTAAGAATTGTCACACGATTAGTTCAGAACGTCTTTTCATTACTTATTAATCTTCTGCGGCCGCCCATTATTTCGTCCATGGCATGAGAGAGTAGGTGGTGGCTACGTAGATAGCTCAGGTCTTCCTCCACACCATCTTCGATCCCAGGATCCAGAGGACAAGCCAATGAGGGAGCCAGTGGAAGAATGCGAAAAGGCGCGAGCTGGTCCCAAGTGATATATATGTTGGAGGGTTGGGACTCAGCACCTTTGCAACCACACGTCGTGCAAATTCATCAGTAGGCATGCACCCTTTGGCTTGACTGATATGCAAGCGTTCGTATACCCGATCGAAGTAAGGCTTGTAGATGGATGTGGGGGATAATTCAAGTGTGGCTGCTTGGTTGGTGCTAATGTTTGACTTGACGCTGCCTGGTGCCACTAAAATCACTTTAACACCGAAGGGCTTGCATTCCATGGCCAGAGTATCGCTGAGCGCGTGAACTGCCGCCTTTGCTGCGCAGTATATTCCGTTCCATGGCGTAGGGCTAATGAGACGGGGTCAGTTGAAAGATGCCATCACTGCACCGTGCTCACATATTTCCTGCAATTGATCCAATATTAACGATAAGCCCTTGCTTGCGTTCTACCATAGAGGGTGCGACCGCCTGTGCAACCCGCAAGATCGAGAACGTGTTGGTCTCGAAAGCTTGTCTAGCCTGGTCTAAAGATACATCAAGCAACGGTCCTGAGGGAAAAACGAACATCACAACTGTTTCACTATGGCTTGAAAGGTTTGAACGAACCAATGGCCAGAGCACCAGCATTATTCACAACGATGTCGAGTTTTCCTTGCTCCTCTAGAATGGACTGTACGACGAGTTTCACGTCTTCGCCGCTGGTCACATCCATGGCACGCTTTTCCACTGAATGTTTGAAGCCGTCCATCGTCTCCAGCCTACGAGATGTGGCATACACAGTGCATCCCTGCTCCGCAAAATGCTCACATCTGTTATTGTAAGTTGAAGTAGTGAGGTCATTGAAGAGTCTAAGACGGTGGACTTACAGATGGAAGCCAATCCCGCCTTTTGAACAACCAGTTACTAGAACGACTTTTCGCGACATGAGTGTTAGGTGAGGCAGGACGGTAGCATAACTTATAGGTGTAAGCCTAAGCAGTAAGTCACATAGAGTCTATTTTAGTACACGTAATGAGAAGTCCGTTTGGGCAGAGGAGATCTCCACAAGTCAGATGACGAGTCTGGACCAATACCACACCAAGAAAGTTCATCGCCCTGCATCAAACTAGCAAATAATACACTCTTTCCCTCCTTCCTCAGTTTTCACCAACCTCGCCTCTAGCCGTGCGCGTAAACTACCATCAGACGCGATATGCGGGGATGTGCTGCAAATGGACGTTAGTTTCTATTACTTCAATCCCCCGATTCGTCGTTGCATATTGGGCGAGGATATGTAGGAAAACTCACTCAAACATCAACCCCGCTCCATCTTGTTCTCCGAGTGGCATTACGATCGCAGAGACATACGTTCCATGTTCGGACCAGGTATCGGGTTTGATGGTGGTAGTAGGGTGAGGTAAGCCGTGTGGATCTGCTGGGAGAGACGTCACTATTAGTCAGGTCGTTCTATGTATGATGAATAAATAGTCAAAGTTCATCAAAACTGATTCAAAAAACAAGCCTCTCGTATCGTGATTAAACCAGCTAAAGAACCTCACCTCCATTCTTCATACGACACGCAAGCATAGACTTGCCTGTACTAAAACGGAGCATCACTGGAGTACGCCCACTGGATCCCAACGAAGCATTCTTCAGCTTCAAGAGCTGCTTCTTGGATGTGGGAGCTGCGACCTTACTGTCCAATACAGATGTTAACGTATGCGAGGAACGAGACGAGGACGATGATAGTTGCTTGAGCGAGGGAGACGAATGAGTCTGGATTAGCCCACGGTGGGGGTGCGAGGGAGGCGGAAGCAGCATCTGTTTTTGTGCATTTGCACCTGAGAATGTTGCAGGACGAGAATAGCCAGGAGAGCTGAGCGAGGAAGGAAAAGGTAAGCGCGTGCGTGCTTGTTCATCATAGTTGAGGTCCGTTTCGCAACCCCAAAGTCCCACTCCGTTCTCAAAGCCATAGCCTGTCTCTTTGCCTGAGAAACTAGCACTGTGGATGTGCTTTCTTGGTGAGGAGGTTGTGGGTGGACGAGGACAAGGCCATGGAGGAGGAAGGGGAGGAGGTCCATCGATGATTACTGCTGCATCCACGTAGGTCGGTAGGCTGTGATCGAGGAGGGAGAGTGAGATGTGCAAGGACCCTGCCGCTCTTTTGTCTTTGGTGGACTTGGACTTGGGTTGCGGACGATCGGTGGTAAAGAAGGTTAATGCGAATATATGGCCTGAAAGGAAAAGAACATTAGTTGGTTTTTCTCATCTGTAAAAGACTGAGGAAGAGTGAAAGCAGGATACTTACCAGAGGCAATGAATTCCACGCTCACGCTCCCAACTGCGCGTATACGTTTCTGCCACATCGTAATATCCAGTGTTGCAGCAAAAGTACCATTGGGGCCCTCTTCAATACGCACGTCATCTGGTGGGCATCGACCAAGAAGTAGTCTATCAGTAGCTAGCAACTCAAAGCATCAGCCCTAATCCAGATTTTCAACTCAGACTCACCACTCCGTAGCCCACTTGCGCAGAGCCCGACGCTGTGTCTGAGGTTCTGGAATAATGGCTGATTACTCGCCACCAAACATGCCTTCCTCATTTCACTGAGTGTCGTAGGGGTTAAAGGATAGGCATATTTGAGCAGAGCATCGAGGAGGGAGGGGTTATAGTTGACGATGGCCCAATAGATGGCAGTGTGACCTGCTATATGCGGCTCTTGAAGAAGCGTAGATAGTGACAGGTTCTTCGTGGAGCATGTTTTGAAGCAAGAAGCTAGGATTTCATGTGGATCCGCTAGGGCCAATTGCGGAGATTTGGAACTCGGTTTACCAGAGTTGGTCGGCGGAGGAACGACAAGGTCGTGAATAAGCGTAAGCACGGACTGACGGTCGCGTTTCGCAGCTTTGGAGGATATAAATGGGAGGAAAGAAAGCCATGAGCTTGAGCCAGATTTTGCTTTACGCGCCCGAGTGCGCTTAGTGCGTTTTTGGTGGGAGGAGGACGCAGACTCTGCGGCAACGGTTTTACGAGAATTTAGCTCTTGGAATGATTTGTTCACATCCACTGGTGGGATCACCGCATCGTCTGGAAGTTTTGTAACTTGTGTTGTCGTAAAGTCAATGTTGCTCCTGCTCCTGGGCAACGCGTGTACCAGACGCCGAGAAGGAGGCTCAAATTCTTGCACATCTGTTACAACAGTACTAATCCTGCCAATAGGAGTTGCCTCATCGTCGTGAGCGAGAGCGATGGCGATGGCAGGTATCGAAGGAATGCCTCCGTGGATTGACAATGTGTCATAAGCAGGAGGTAAATGATCAATCTCAGGCTCCAAGTCTGCTTCCTTGTCCATCCGCATCCTCGACATCGACTGGCGGGCCCGGGAAGCAGGTAATACGTATACAAGGAACTGCCTTTATATAACTCATGTCAGCCTCATGCACTGTCATTCGGCTGGGTAGTGACTGACCCCGCAGTCAACAGGTGGCACTTTGAATCCCGACATAATTATGGACTCTACACTGCCACCATTACTACCTGCGGAACGGGGACTTGCACGCGTGAACGTCTGTAACTTTCCTCCAAGAAAATACATATTTCCATACAATTGCTTTCGAATTGGCTGGATCGGCGCATAGCGATGTGATAGGGTGACTTTTCACGTTATACGTCCCTACTAGTGGTTGCATGGATCGACAGCACGTGGCATTGCTACAAAATGTGCCCAAAGGACATTCCCAGTGTGAACTGCCGCAGTTCTCTGACCGATTCCGATACCTCTAACAACCCGGGGATTAGATGATGAGCACAGCCTGATCTGCGTGTGTATGTCGCGTGTCACAGCTTAACAAATCTGAATCTAATGGAAGGACAGTAGCTTGAGCCTCTTTGATATGAGTAGTATGCTGTATAACATCACTGCGGGAAATGAATCCTATCAAGTAAAATCAGACCGTTGTATTAGGCGTGCTAATAAATACTTGAATGAGATGCCAGACCTCAGAAATGTGATGGTACATTGTCCCGAGAATTTCAACTCTTCCCTTACTCGCCCCTTGCTTGCCTGAGCACCTTGCTTGCAAGCTCTACGAACTCTCCCTCCTTCCCAACCAGCGCAGCCTCGACCAGTCCCCATGCATCCTCTTCTTTATGCTCTTCCACCCACCGCACATACTCCGCTTCCTGCCATCCATGCGTTATGTGCGGCAGCGGCAGTGGGGACCGTACAAGAATATGGTGCAGCACTACGAGCGGAGGCAGGTTCACGGCGTGCGTTGGACCGGCAAGTGAAGCTGTGTCGAGAAAGAGGAGAGGTCTGTGGCAAGTGAGTGAGCGCGCATCAGGTACTATCAGGAATAGAACGAACCGCATGGCTCTAAGCATTTTGTACTCCTCCCCCGCCACTTCAAGACCACGCTTGCTTGAGGGCCCAAGGAACGCGCCCAACGCAAATTCGAGCTCCGTCATATCTGTCGTGAGCTGCAGCTTGCCGCTCTCCCCCAACGGTTTCGCGATACTGGCGTGGAGCACGAAGTTTCGGATGACATATCTTACGATGGAGAGCGCCCTGGGCGTTTCACTTAGCGCGACAGGTCAACAACAAATGACCAAAGAACATACCAGGACTGGGTCATATCACTTGCAAAATTGGTAAAGATCTGAGTCTTGACGTAGTTGATTTTATCGGCGAGGTCTTTCATGTACAGGCTTGGCCCCGCCATGCCTGCCATCGGGTTCGTGGCCTTCTGCAGGTCCACCCTATGAAGTCTCGAGACGATGGAGGCAAGCTCCCTTCGGACCGCCGTCAGGAGCGGGTCAACAATACCGTCGTAAGTGAGGTGCAGTTTCTGGGAGGCGGGGTGACTTCAAGACTTGGTATTCTTGGGAATAAATACCTTTACACCAGCTTTAACAAGCGTGGCAGCGCTCTCGGTATGTTCTTCAGCCACCTTCTCCAAATTCGTCCAGCAATAATAAAGGCACGTTGCAACCTGACCATTCAAGACTTGTTGTGGAGTCGCCGTCGGCCCAATAAGTGTAACCGCCAAGCGATCTGAAGAGATCTAGTTTCAACACATGAGTTATGTGGTACCTATTCAAAGCCGAAAAAGACTCACCAGGCCCTCAGCCCTCGTCAACACACCATCGAGAGCTGCGCTGACGTTTCTCGCCACCGCAAGTATCAACAAAGGATCGAACCTAGCAGAATCAAGCTCATTCATCACCACCCGCGCAATTGTGACTCCTTCGTTAGAGCCTGGAGGTGCGCGAGAGCCACCAGCAAAAGCCTGGGAAACGGATTCATTCAAACGGGTTGCAGAACGAGAGAGGTAGAGATCCTCGAATGTAGAGAGAGCGCGGAGGACGAGAATAGTTTCTGGTCTAAAAATCATGTATGAGGCTATATTTCACGAGAAGGGGAAGACATACGATTGCTGAGATTGGGTATAGACTGTGTCAGTATGCACGGCAATTTTGGCAAACAATTTGTGGAAGATACGTAAGAGTTTGGGGTAACCAGCGCTGAGAGTCTGTTGAAGGAAAATTGATCCTAGTCATGATACATTAGTGGTGATGTATATGGTACAAATGGAAACGAACCTTTGGCAGCATCACGAACATACTTCTCGAGAGAGCGTCCTACCGAAGTCCAGAATGTAGAACTAGGTTTGTTCTCTAGAACCTTCAAGTAGTTAGTTAGTCATAGATTTGATGCTTGGATGTACAAAAAAACGTACCTTCATTACATCGGCAATGAACGATCGTTGGGTGACCGGATCCTTCTTCAACTTTAGGGCCTTCTCGAGCGTATACACCTAAGACTAAGTAGTAAGTCGTCGACATAATGTAGAATAGCGTTCAGGTTGCTACCTTGATGCAGCATGCCGCCATCTCCTCGACGAGAGACTCAAGGCGGGCCCAAAGCGCACCTGTCCATTGTGGTGCCGTGATGTTTGTTGGTTCTGTTCGTACACGCGACTTATATGAGAGGCCTTGAGACGAAGGTATATTTTCTTGAGAACAAGAACATCAGTCAAGGAAGGATAGTATCAGTACGACCTACCCTTCGAAACAAGTTCCTTTGAAATACATGAGAGATCAAATGTACTTCGTATCCGTTCTTCGACGGCGTCACAAAGATCTTTTGACAAAGCTTGTACGAGCGTTGGGAGTACACATAAGTTGTGCGCTGTCTGTAACGAAGATGCTAACAATGATTGATCCTTAAAATTAAAATTCATGTTAATGATTCACGCCAGAACACAGAATGACAAACCAAAGTGGAAAGACCGGTTATGATCATGGATTCCATCTCATGCGTGACCTTGCATCGCGCTTCTTCGATAAATGGTACGTGAGCTACTGCCGCCTTCACAGATCGAAGGGGGATTAGTGCATCCATCGTTGGGGTAGTCCTATGGCCAGTTTCTGGCAAGCAATTCTTGAGGGTATCCCCAGTATCTTCAGGTCCATCCAACAAGGCGCCTTGACAAAAGTGAACAGTTAAACAATACCTGCGAGGTAATAAACAAACGAACCTAACTCAGCGATTGTCAATGCCGCTTTGGCAATGACGCGCTCCTTGTCGTCTTGCTGATCTGCGAATAGGCGTTTTGAATTGTTGAGTTTCTTGTCAGCGGTGCTCGGCTCGTCGAATGCAGCGAACTCGGTCATTTGAGTATCCAGACGTCGTGAAAGCACGATGAAACGTGAAATACGCCGCAGCGCATCCGAGGCTTGACGGGTGCGTTGAAGCCTAATGGCGCTCGTTTCCAAGGTTCGGTATGGAACACGAATTTTCTCGCGAAGTCTGATTCGGTCGCGTAAGTTGCGACGTAACGACAGAACGTAGCTACGTACTTCTCCAAGGAAGCATCGACGTCGTCCAAGCCACGTCGAACTGAAGTCAGCGATCCTGAGAGGTTATTGATCTCCAGCGCTCGCTGGAGCAGTTCTTCATGGTGCGTAGTAACCTGCAATCAACACATGATCAACAGCATCTCAGTGTGATAATATAATTACGTACCAGGCTTTTTATCTGCTTTCCGACATTCTCGATGCTCAAGTCCAGCTTAGATATTGTGATCGAAATGTTTTCTTTGGTCGATTCCAAGGGTGCGCCCGTTCGGGGCTTTGCGAATTGCGTTTGGTGAACATCGCCAGCAAGAATGGCGTTGGCGTAGTCATTGATATCAAAGTCGGCGATCACGAACGATGAGTAGTCTAGCGTGCCAGTTTAGCATTAGACGAGATATTGTGTGAGAGAAAAATGCTTACCCATCATCGGAATATGGATCAGGACGAGTGCATTCGAATACTGCGCAAACGAGATTTCAATCCTGAAGACAACGTTAGTGCTTAAACACGACTCGAAAGTACTGTAAACGATGACCAAAGTAGTGAACACCAATTAACCGGGAATAGCTGGACCGGATCAGATATGTAATAACATTTGTCAGCAACAGCATGGAATAGAAACAAGTCCGAACCTTCGAGTGGCACCAACACCACGGGTGCTGAGGCCTGAGGCTTATCTCCTGGTGGTACTAGTAGGAACCGAGTAAGGGGTCAAGGAATGCAACGGCCAGCACCCGGCACGGTTATAATGTTGGACTGCATCACTGATGACGATGTGGGGCGAAAGCTCCGCGTTGCAGGACGGTAAGTCCTCTTCCTCGTTCTATATTATTCACGTGTGCAAACATACTCACATTCACTGCAGGATGCTCATGTACGACCCTTCCACTGCACTTGTACTCCTCTCACTTTCCTCCCATGGACTTCTGGTAGACGCTTCTCTTGTAATCGATCCGGATGCGGTGCTTTCTACAGTAAAATGGGGCGGGACACTCGATCCAAATGTGGACTACAACTGGATACACGAACGTAAAGCATGGGTGTGGGTTTTGGGATGGTTGGAGAGGTCCGAGGTGGGTCGCATTCAGTGCACGGCTACATCGTTATACATACTAACATATCGTAGCAGGACCTCCCAATACCGGAACTCCCACCCTACACATCACCACCAGACGTTGACCCGTCGATTGTTCTTAAAGCGCTGAACATCACTCCTGCGCGAGATCTGGACGTTGTCGGCCTACGTTCGGCACTTGCGGCGATGGGAGAGTTTCTACCTACGACGTATCCAGTATGATAGGCGTCGAGTCATGTCGCTGATGTCGCGATGTGAGTGATTGCTGATGTATATCGAAGTCCGTGGATTTATGAGATGAAATCTATATTCTAACAATTGTTTTTCACACTGTAAAGCTTCTGAGATAAAATGGATATATATGTGCATGATACGTCGGAACGGACTTCTCATTGCATCTGAGATAGACTTACAAGTTGTACCATTCTAGGCTATCGTCCTGTTTCACCTAACACTCATGTCGCGAAAAGTCGTTCTAGTAACTGGCTGTTCAAAAGGCGGAATTGGCTTCCATCTGTAAGTCCACCGTCTTAGACTCTTCAAGCTTCAATGACCTCACTACTTCAACTTACAATAACAGATGTGAGCATTTTGCGGAGCAGGGATGCATTGTGTATGCAACGTCTCGTAGGCTGGAGACGATGGACGGCTTCAAACATTCAGTGGAAAAATATGTCATGGATGTGACCAGTGATGACGATGTGAAACTCGTTGTACAGTCCATCCTAGAAGAGCAGGGAAAAATCGACATCGTTGTGAATAATGCTGGTGTTTTGGCCATTGGTTCGTTCAAACCTTTCAAGCCACAGTGAAATGGTTGTCATGTTCGTTTTCCCTCAGGACCGTTGCTTGATGCATCCTTAGATCAGCTTAGAAAAGCGTTTGAGATCGATACGTTCTCGATCTTGCGGGTTGCACAGGCAGTCGCACCCTCCATGGTGGAACGCAAGCAAGGGCTTATCGTCAATATTGGATCAATTGCAGGAAATATGTGAGCACGGTGCAATGATGGCATCTTTCAGCTGACGCCGTCTTAATAGCCCTATTCCATGGCATGGATTATACAGCGCAGCTAAGGCGGCACTTCACGCGCTTAGCGATGCTCTGGCCATGGAATGTAAGCCTTTCGGTGTTAAAGTGATTCTAGTGGCACCAGGGTGCATTCAGTCAAATATCAGTACCAACCAAGCAGCCACACTTGAATTATCCCCCACGTCCATCTACAAGCCTTACTTCGATCGAGTGTACGAACGCTTGCCCACCAATAGAACCCAAGGCCGAGGCAGCATGCCTACTGATGAATTTGCACGACGTATGGTTGCAAAGGTGCTGAGTCCCAACCCTTCAACTTATATGTCACTTGGGACCAACTCGCGTCTTTTCGCATTCTTCCACTGGCTCCCTCACTGGCTTGTCCTCTGGATCCTGGGATGGAAGCTGGTGTGGAGAAAGACCTGAACTATCTGCGTAGCCACCACCTGCCATGGACGGAATAATGGGTGGTCGCGGACGACCCAGGTGGCTAGCAACCGATGGGTCGTGAGCCAGATTTTGAGCCAGGTCCGGAATATTGTGCGTGAGGCAAGTAGTGAAGATGTTGCAGATATTGCTGGTCGTTGAGGGTCATTGGCGGGAGATTAATCTTATCGTAAGGCTCGACGAGGAGGCGCCTGCGTTAAGGTTATGCAATTCACGGAGAAGTAGAGTCAATGACGAGTAGAAGTGTGTTTATTGCGTGCTGTTCAAATTGTTGACTTGAATATATGCTCGTACTGAGCAGCAATCGACGATGTTCGCCGTGTTCGGCGAATCTTCTCAGAGAAGATATACCCTACTATCAACTGATAGACGCGTTGGCTTATGAAGCACATTGGATGAAATGCGACTCAGTATATTAAATGGAATTATGGAGAACGATAAAGGGGGGTAAGCAACGTGATATCATAGAACGAAAACATGGTATTTCACACCAAAAAATGAATTTCGCTTGTTACATCCGGTGCTGATTATGCAGTTCCAATGCAGCGAGCGGTGGCAGCAATGCGAAAATTCATGGGTATGACAGTATGCCTGGAACAAGTACGTTCAGATACGATCGCTCCCATGTAACTCGAGACTTACTGATAATGCTGTTGAACACCATCGCCTTCCATGATCAGTACGTCTCCCTGAGAATTTTCAGGTCTAGGACAGCTGCACTTTTGTAAATACGACTTACGTGTCGGAGGATCAAAGTTAACACATTTGACGATGAGTGTTTTGGCTCCTTTGATGTAGCACGGGCACGAAAATGCATGAATGCCGCGGACCCTAGTGAAAGGGATGCTACGACAGGACCCAGCCCGCGCTCACTGTCACTGTGGAACTAAGACACGTTGATGCAAGACTACGGGGCAATTATTTCCCAGAACTCACAGACATCTTTTGTTTTTCCATATATGCAGCGCTGAGAATCTCGTTGAATGGGATGTCTTTTTGAAGAGCGAGACGAGATCTCTCTTTGATCAAGGCGAGGGCACCACACACAGATGATGGTGCCTTGTCGAAAGGCACGGTATTTCCTGTTCCACCAACATACTTTTTCATCCTTGAGCATTGTCATTAAATCAGATGCAGGATGCAATGACCTGGTATGGTTCACCCGCTACATGCCAAAATGCTCAACACGAGAATTTATAGACAAAATAATATGCACTCACAATTTTGAGAAAAGTAATTAGTAAGGAAAGTTCCACGAACTGCAATACAGTTTGAGTGATCACTAACACAGTTCTAAAATCTTCATTCCGTACGTTTTTGCTAGATGGATTTCAGAAAGACCTCATAGATAGAAGGAAGTTGCTCACAAGCCTGAGTGGGTATCTTCTCAGAAGCAATTCTCCTTCTTCAGCTTGCTCCTGATACTGTCGGAATATCTCGTCCGCCTGTTTGTTTGCCAATGGAGTACCCAATAAGAGATGGATCCTTCCTCTGCATGACTTCGTCATCAAGATAATGGCACAGCGTACTAGTGTGACCCTTACGTCTCATTAGGGAGAATGAAAGTGAGGTGGTTCGTAAATCCTCCGCCATCGCCCAGTTCGAATGGTTCTGGACGACAAGCAATGATCCCTGAGAGAGTCGCATGAATGTGAGGGAGAAGTGCCAGTGAATGACAATGACGTCGCAAACCTGATTGTTTTCCAACTTGCGAGTGTAGAAAATCTACTGGTGGTCGTTGGTGCCAAAACTCTTTTGCTGTCCGCAGTCTTCCCGGAATTTTGTGAATCAACTATAGGAAATGGCTCAAGGGAAGCCACATAATAAGAGGGGACGACACATACATGACAATGAGAACATTCCCAATGTTCCCATTTGAAACTTCAAACTTGCGTCAGGGTAGCACAGCATATCTGCGAAGCTACGCTTACCGACTCGAAAGGCGCCCGCACTTTTCGCAGTGCCATCCCTTGCTAAATGCGTACGAAGTAGTGATGGAATCCATCGTTTCAATAAGCTTCGCAGGGCGAAGCTCTGGAAGATTGATAAATACTGTTTTAATTGGGCGCAAGAATGAGGCGTCATAATCAAGTTGGTTCAGCTCTCGTCCTCCTATACTCCAAAAGGAAGTACAAGAAGGATTCAGACACATCCATCCCTGTGAATAAACAACAGGACTCTTCTGAGAACACTTATTGCATGCCATATTAACAACGACATCTGGCGGCGACGGATCTTGTCTGGGAGCAGACTGACAACCTGCTCAAGAGTCAGAAATATCGAATGGCAGAATATTAGCAACCCACCTCCGATTGGATCGGGAAGCATATCCACGTCATTGCTCGTGGATGAAATCCACCACGGATTTCCCTGTCCTTCGCACCATTGGAAAGCAAACTTCCAGCGGACAACCCTTCCGCAGCCATTGGATGCGGGTTGATACTCGGCTACAGTGAGAGCTCAGCGACTCAGAAATGCAAATTGGATGTATCATACCCCATGCATGAGATATCCAATATAATCCAAGGACGACATACGTGCAGCCCGAGGCACTAAGATCATAAGGGAATAGAGCGTACTTATCATCAGCGAGAAGAACCAGAGGTCGTTTGTCTGTATAGCTCTTTAGTAGAGCACGGACGGATTTGTCTGTGGCTTCTTGATCCTGAGCCTGTTGAAACCGAGCAGCACCAACCCGGTAATCGAGGATGCTCTCAGCTTTACCGCCACTGTATAGCCACAAATCAGGCAACCTATGGGAGAGATGCGACATGGACTAACCCATGGGAAACGATCAATCTTCCCCCGCAATGAAAGATATCACGGCTGACCTCATTCAGTTAGCGACATCTTGCCTTTTGATGAAAGAACATACCTTGCGGGTGATCCACCCAAAAGATAGCCTTTGACAATATCCTTCAAGGAATAAACACCACTCTGATAGCTTCGAAAGTAGTCGAATGATTCACAGACTTCTTGGCGAGACTACATGCCAGTTAAGAATACGGTATGCTCACACAGTGTTGTGCATACCTCGGCCCAAATTGGCGGTATTATAGGTAAACGAGGTTTCGTTGGCACAGTGATGTCGACCACCTCCTTACAGCTTGACGACGGAGGTAAAGTATCGTTGACTGAAGGTATATCAAATTCGTTCGCAATATCATCGACATCCGCGACATCATCTTGATCATCATCGCGAGCCCAGTCCTCCATATGCACTGAGACTGTCTGAGAGTGCATTAACGAGGCGTTCCTACCAATATCCGTCAGTAAACGATCGACGCCTTCCTGATTGAGGGCTGGTCTCGACGGTTGAGCATAGGAACTCTGTTGTCCATGTCTTGGTGGAATATACTTTGTCGTTACTTTGCGTGGCAAGGGGCGAAGAGACCGTCTAGATTGCGGAAGTGCACTTGCAACCATCAATTCGGAGGATCGCGCTACGAAGTGATCTGAATCGTTGGATTGTAGGCCGCTATCCGCCCGGCCGTGGTTTGAGGACAGGTTACCATTAGCAAGGACATGTGTACCTTGTCCTGCATGAGTAGGAGTAGTGCTGTCAACATTGCCCAGCGAGCTACTGGGCAGTCCTGGGTGTATTTCCCTTGGTAATTGACAAACGGGCGGTGAAGGTGCAGTATCTGGACAATCTTCCTGACTGAGTAATGGCAGGGAAATCGGCATATCAATCGAAGAAATGCCACCCGAACTGTTGTGCATGCATTTACCATCGGGAACCTTATTGGACTCGGGTGCCTCAGATGTGCGGGAATGCTCTTGTAGTGCCTTGGTAACTGTCGAAGGTGCCGGACTTGGACCCTCCTGGCCACTGCTGCGGCCACGACCACAACCACGACCACGACCAGCACCACGACTGCGACCGCGACCACGACCGCGACCAGCACCACGACCCGGACCGCTACTACGGTCGCGGCCATCATTGACTCCATGTCTACGCGCCCTTGCGCTGTGCCCACCGCGGCCAAACTGTGTGCCTTGAGTGGCGTGACCGCTCAAGAGTTCGTGTCTCTTTCGGTTAAGGTACTCCATTGGGCGGTTCTTTGCTTGTAATAGACAATAAAATTCAAAGAAGATGGCCAACATCTTTGGATCATTGGCAGAGAGTTTTATGACGTCTGTCTCATCATTTTCTGGTGGAAACGCCAGGCGGATCCATGCTTGAACTGCAGCAAGGGCTCGTTGCTATCATGTCCAGGTTGTCAGTTATATCTGTACCGGTACACATGACATACGTTTTCCCGCATCTCCTCCACGAAGCTATTGATAATGGCATTGCTTTCATGACGACGCTGGGCATGAGCAGTGTATAGAAGACAATAAGTCCGCAGAGGTTCATGATTAAGCAAAGACGCGTCATGCCAGCTAAGTGGCAGCTCCATGGGACACGACGTCTTGCGTTGCCTTCAATAAGTCCACTGCGCCTGGTTTCTGACTTATGCCTCGCAGGAGGGGTGAAGGGAAAGCAGCGCGCATACTCTCCAGGGCGCAGGTGCCCTCACCCATTACGCGAGGTTCGCTGGAACGGAGCCGCGGAAGTACCCGGACTTTCAGACGTACGTGAAGTAACTCTCACAATACCAGCGAAACTCAAAGACACGCAAAAGTAAGAGCGTTATCAAGGTTGGAATAAGTAATACTCTAGCGATACGGCCGGTGGCTGGAATCACAATTTTACTTCGACCCCAAAGCATGTTGCAAGGCCTCATACACATCAGCCTCTATCCGTGCTTCCATTTTGTCCTCCTCGGATCCGTTCCCTGCAGCGACCTTCAATGCCTCCTGTAGATTTGCACGAACGGCCTGAGAGGAGAAATTTAGAGTGCGGTGACACGTGTGAAGATGGAACTTACCTCGGAAGAGAATGACTCCAAAGGCGCAGCCTCGACGACGTTAATGGTGAGTTTGTTACCGGGGTGTACAGTTGCGAAGCCACCGGAAGCTGGCGCAGTGCATTAATATCATGTGTAGAATGATATCAAAATTTTCAACACACCAAACCACTTCTTGGAAGCGTTTCCCGACTCAACAACCTCGATCAAACCAGGACGCAGAGCCTCGATGGAGGGAACATGGTTTGCCAGGATACCCATGTCACCTGTTGCAGCAGCAAGGTTCACCTGAACAACATCTGTGGAAGTGAAGATAGCCTTTGCAATATTCCGGCTTCAATTCCGAGTAAATGGAAGGAGTACAGCGGACGCACCTGGTGAGGAAGGACCAGAGAAAGGCTGATTTTGTCGGCTACTTCAGCGTATCCTCGTCGCTGCTGTGCGAGCGCTGATGGTGCACGTCGGGCGGCAGAGGAGAGTAGACGCAAAGCAGACATGGTCAAAGTATTTTGTGGACGATGAAGTGAGGAACGATACGTTCTTTGGTCGGATAAAGCCGCTTCACAGCCACGTGACTTGTATCACATGATTGCTATTATGTTTTTAAAATTACATGGCTCAACTTCGCTCAGGAATGGAGAGCGCTCAGCGCATCAAATCCGATTACATGTCTTAAGTGTCCTTTATCAATCCCGTTCTGCATCACACCGCAACTTGACCGCAACCAAAATATAGCTCAATGCCTCTTTGACACTTCTCTGCTCACATCTGCGATCTTCAAGGAATCATACCTATTACCATGATCGGCCTGTCCGGACAAACCACCGTCGATGTCCCTATGGTCATCCCCATGTTAGCGTTCCAGTGAAACATCTAATCATTCACTGTCGCATAGCATGCAGACAATGCGTGCTTGTCTTGCACTCATGCTACCCAATTTGAAAGGGTCTACATGTCCTTTGCACCCGCACTGGCACTCCGTGTATTTCATCAGGGCTCCAACAGTGAAGTCAACTTTGATATAAAGGTATGGATACGAGAAGCCCTTCCTCCCGCAAGTCCATTCAGGATTCATGCTGACGGTACTTTCTGCTGTAATGTAGTTCATGACGACCGTGGAATGAAATTTCAAAATGGGAACTATCACACAATTAGAATGCGTCACGACGATATCGATGTCCACTTGCCCCATTCACCAGCTTGTAAATTTTGTCCATCGCACAGCTGTCGTATTCCATCTTGCGACTGATCTTCTCAGCAACAATATATACATTCCCCACGAGATATGGCAACCTGATTGGGCACGAGCGACGAACCAGAAGCCATCACAATGAAGACAACAAGGAGAAGAACGAGAAAATAAGGGATCATGAAGGAGACAGCTCAATTCATGCTGACAATGGCTAATATCGTTCTAAGGTTGTGGCTGACAGGCTGATGAGAACGGGATTGTACCCTCTTCTAGGATATAGGAATGATAGTGATATAATTTATACCCAAGTAGATCTACAATTCTAAAGAGAAACAATGCAGATCACCATATGTCAAGGACTGTTAGGCTTGGAATGGTAGCCGTTGGTGGGCGTGTAATCCTCTGGTAATAACTCCGGTACGCGTCGCACGCCACGCTCACTATCATAAGAAGATTTGAGAATCTTACAATATATTCCATCATGTAAATTACTTACATCTCATCCACAGCAACCATGAGGTCGTAATTTATTTCCTGGCTCACAACAGAATCGCGATTGTAACTTGGGTGAGAGCGCACGAAATTACGAATCCAAGTCGCAGGTGTCTGTAAAGAGCCTAAAACCGATGTAAGCGCACATCTGAAAAGAAAAAAAATGATATCTGTGCCTATTGCGCGTCTGCGGACAAGGTCGAGGTATTTGTTGATTTGCAATCTGTCTTCCTCATCAACGTCTAATGTGTCGATGTAAGCCTCGACGACGCCAAGCAAACCAGGAAACTTGGATCCCTGAGATAAATGTCAACTTTTGAAGGTTGCAGGCAAAGAATACATAACAACCTTCCCAACAAAAATCTCTTCCACAGTCATCTCCTCATACTCATCTTCAATCGGACCATCTGCCACACACGACGGTCGAGGAACAGGGGGGAAACAATTGCGAAGTAGTTTCTCCTTTGCTGGAGCACCTTCCACAGGCGAAGATGATCCAGAGCACGAAAGTGGACTAATGGTAAGAGTATCATGCCCTGGGGGAAGAACATCCTTCCGGAAATAAAATTTTCCGGAACGAGCTGCGTCTCTCTTCTGTGCACGGGCCATGTTCTGATCAACCTGTTACAATATCAGTCAAATGACATCGAGGAAAAATATCCTTTTGAACCTTGGAAATAGGAATATAGAAATTAAGGTTGAATGCTAGGATGGCGCGCGAAAGGAGGACAATAAAGACAGCAAATGCAGCGTTCTCAAAGTCTGTCATTTGCACCTCCATGCTACGAAACTCTACACGCCAGCCAATGGGAGAGTTTGGTGGGGGCGGTTTGAATCTAAGAGTCTGCCAGTTTGTGGATTGAATATTCTGCCAAGGCGTTGAGAATAACAAACAGAGCAGGACGAAGAGTGACATCACCTCGAAGTGGTCATTACTAGTAGTGTCATCTTGATTGATGGTCTCAGAGAAAATAACGAGAGGATCTCGAATGAATAGATGTGCTACGTGCTTGGCAAGAATCTCATCTATGCCTAAATCCAAGGGAGTCAGTCGTAAGAAAGTCACAAAGTCCCCATACTCACCGTGATTACGAAGACGTTGAAAGATACCTTTATTGTAGGGTACAGGAGCGTCGTTATATTCAGGTTTGTTGGTCCAATTGTTTGCAATGTATAGATCAACGCTGTCGTAACGAGACTTGGGAATCGTGTAGTTGTCTTTCGAAGGCTAGGATACTAGTTTCAGAAAGCACAATAAGGAACTGAAATGATACTAACTCTCAAACCGCGTTCTTCTGGTGTGCGGTCATCAACGCTGCCAGCAATGACATTCCAACGACAATCTACATCAGCGAGGTAACCTCTCCATGCGGGACTAGCTGCTGTCAAAGCAAGCTGCAAAACGTCTTGATACATCTAAAAGTTACCTCACTGGATCACCTACGCACCATAATTGGTCCAACGGGAATAAGAGCATCATACATGCGCCTTGCTTCATCTACATTGCAACTCTGGAAAGTGAGTTGCAAACAGCAACATCCCATTCCGAAGCCCATTGCGTCCAAGTAAATGTGATCGATCAATGCCGCACCGTTCTTCGCCTCTGTCGAGTCACCGATAAATTAAATCTGATTCAGTAAATGGGATAGGGTTGCACTTACCCGGATCTTCTTGGTATATCGAACGTTGCCATGGTATAGTGGGATCAACAAATGGTCGAGGTGTTTTTTCATCAATAAATATGGGAAGGTTGATTGCTACCTTGGAGCCCCGTCTACTGCGGATATTAGCTGTTAGGGTACTAAACAAGTTGGATAAGTTTTGCGTCCATGTACAGTCAAAATAGTCAGGTACTGACGGAAAACGTGCGTGAGGGTTCGTGATCTCATCTGGCAAAAATAGGCTATGGCTGGACTTGGCATCGTCTGATGAGAAATGAGGTTCAGTAAAGATGCCATGCGTTCCCAGGCGAGGGAAAGATGTGAAGGTGAATGGGATTTCATTTGCTTTCAGGTGTCTTTTTGCGAGCGTACGTCTTATTAATGATAAGGTTCAGTACCACACATAATACCACAAACATTGAGGCGCGACATTACCTGTAGTGCATGTTTGTCTCGACGGATAGCAGGTCCGGGATAGAGCCCGTGTATGGAGAGCCAGGAGTCGACTCCAGCATGTATCTTCCGTATTCTGGGTGGAAAGTTGGAACAGTCATGCTGAGGAACAATTCTATTACGGCGCTTCCCCTGAGGATCCAATTACTCACAGGGCGGGTGTATCGTCATCTGTGAGGTCTCCTACGACCTGACTAAGCTTTGCAAGGATCTCAGTCTGGCGGAGGGAAAGTTTTGCATTTTTCTCCTTGTCGTCAAAGGTAACGACCATGTATTCCACCTTTCATTATATATGTAAGCAAGCAAAACTGGGACTGGTAATATTCACCTCGTCTCCCCACAGTAACTCGTCACCCCATCTATCCTTAACTCGATCCCAGGTATAGAGAAACTGCGTGATACCATGTTCTCGAACATGGTCCGCATACTGCTTCGCTTCATCCCATGTTAAGGGTGTTCCAAGGTATAGCAGGCCCATTCGTGGCGTATTGCGGGTACGGGCTTGTGCAAGCCGCTTGAAGCTTGCTTGATATATAAACGGGGAGACAGGATGCTCCGGGTCCAAATACAGTTAGAAAAGCCGGAATGGTCGCAAGGCTTACATTTGTACCTTACCAATATTTTGATCATATTTGATCACATGCACAGCCAATAATTATAATAGGCAAACATGGGGATGATTAGTTATCATATGTCGTGTAATCGTTGTGGATCACGCAAGACTTCAAAACAACTTCAAATGCATCTACTGAGTCAGAATGTCAACCCGGCAAGTCATATCATGCCACAGGGACTTAATCGTTTCGTCCTCCGATCGTCCGTTAAGGCAAGGTATAGAAGCAGACAAATAGACGCCCATACCTCACGTGTACATTATCGTGTGAAGCATGTTATTCTGGTCAAAAAAACCATCCGCAACGCTCCGACAAGCGAGCACGTTATACAGTTACAGGGAAATGGACTCTCGTTAGCCGTTACCGCCATTGGTCGTCCACTTCAAGACAATCTTCAGCGCAAGTAGAACGTGTCTCAACGCTCGAGTCCAAGCCTCTTCCTGACTGAACTGAAGTTTTACAGACGCTTCCCCTATCTTATCTTTGACAATTCTGCCTCAAAAGGGTCAGTGTGGCGTGGGTTGAATATAGAAGACGCTCACGTACTGATGGGGGAATTCAATAGTGGGATCCTGAGACTTGACGGAATCTATGAGTTGCTTCAAGCATTCTAGGAACGCTACCATAGCAAAATCAAACCGACGGTTATGTAACAGGCGACCCAGGTGGAGATCACCCGACCCGTACAGTTCGTATGTCGCTTTATCTCCTACAGTTCTTTCGATGCGCGAGAATGAACCCATTGGGAGCAAACGGTAGCTGTAAATGATCCTCAGTATGCATAGACGGCGATATTGAGTTCTGACTTGCTTCTCGAATGTGTAATCAAGCTTCCGTGCAATCGTATATAGCAAGAGAAGGGTCTGACCCCATGCTGCATTAATTTCGGGCCATTCAACCTGCACGTTGTCAGGAATCGGGTCATCATGAGAAAGGCTAACGTACTGGGACTCCGGGAACCCGCCCAAGCCTGAGGCCATTGATTGTTCCAAAGACGCCATCATGGCCAATGCAAAACGCATCATTGTAAACGTTTGTGCGCTCGAGCTTCTCGAGCGTAGCGTAATCTGCAGCATATGCTGCACGCAGTGAAGCTAAACGTGAGGCTTGTTCTGCCAAGACAAGGAGGTGCTCATTGTGTGATCGCCAAAATCTACAGCGGAGATTAATATGCGGTCAGAGGAGCCCAATAACCAACTTACTCAGCCTCCTCTTCCTCCAACGCTTTTTCTTCCGCCTCCAACAACTTGAGCTCCTCATCAAGCTGCTCCCTCTCCCTGTCAGCAAGGCGCAATTGTTCAACGGCAGCCCGTTCTTCAGATTTTAGTCTTTCGATCTTTTTCTCTGCATCCTGTTTACTGAGATCCAAGCTCTCCCGTTCTCTTTCCTTCCGAACCTCCTTCTCGAATGCGATATAACCATCACGCTCTTTCTTTGTCTCGTCAAGCTGCCTTTGAAGTGATGAAAGAAGAATTTGTGTGCATTCCGCACACAAAGGGTGATCAATGTCAGACCGGGTAGAAAGTACATTAAAAAGCCTCATAGTGGAGCGCAGGTGATGTGAGATAGGTGTTGGGTTCGAATGGTCTGGCTCAGGTTGCTGGTGTGCAGGTAGTGGATGAGTGTTTTTGGCTGGGAAGTTCTTTTGGTTACCGAGAGTAGCCTTCTTAGGCATTGCAGCCCCTGGGACTGGAGAAGGTATACTGCGTATCATGCTCTCCTGCAGGAGCACAAATGACTCATTCGGTGCTGGAAAGTTGCGCTGGGGTTGTTTCCCTTGAGCTCGAGTAGAAAGGGGTGGTGATGCCCTCGAGTTGTCTGAGGGTGTGGCCTGCTGCCATGCTGCTTTGCTTGCAGATGGGGATGGAAGTTGAACTATTTTCTCGGCCTCTGAGTCTGTTGCATAGCGCGCACGCGAGGCTGGCACAGAAGGCAAAGAGGCTACAATCATGTCATAAGCAGAGGGTGCGAGATCTACCAATGATGCATCAAGCTAATGCTCATCAGTCAGGACTTTCGGTTGGATGAATGATAAATTGTTACCTGGAGTGGTTCTTTACATTGTTGGCACACGTAGCTCATCGTGATGATGGATCGGCTCCAAGTGAAGTGATTGATACTATTGGTCTGTAGCAGTCCGGGCAAGATCCAGCTGTTAATAAAACCCTAAGAAGCATAAGGCTTATCAGTGACAAGTTGGAGGAAGACGTCACTGCACAAAGGTGGGGCTGGCTGTTTAATGCTGAAGCGTACGGACTCGTGGACTAATGCATTACATAATTTTGTGGTCCACGACCTCGGAACATTTTTGTGAACCAATGGTCCTCAGAGATTAGTACAAACGATCGTGCTAACCTTTCCTACATGAATTTCACCTACGGAATTTACGCCCTCGAACCAGCTGCGGTAGTCATGAAAACACGCGTTGTAAATGATGAAGAGAAAAGTTACGTCAAGCACACAGAGTCTCCCCCTCATCCGATGTCTTCACGAACGTGACAAAAAGGAAGTTCCTGACGCCGTAGTCATTTTATCTTGCCAGATGTTTGTCAGGAGCCGATTCGATCTAGTGGAATTTTCTTCTACTCAGATTGCTCCAGAACATATCGAAGGACAAATGTTTTTTCTTAGCCAGGCAAGATTCAGGTATGTTCCGTTTCACACTGATCATATCCGAAGGTGATTCGACACCACATGCCAGTGACCGTGTTTGATGCCCGTTCTCTGGTTTAGCGGTGCCTCTGCCGCGTCAACGAACGCGTGTTTTACGTGCTGCACGCGTCTGTCAAAGATACGCTAGCATGATGTACTATGGGTAAAAAGTACTTAAGCTATTGTTTCCTGCCACATATCGTCAATAGTTCGGTTCCTCCGCATCGTTTATTCTTCAAGAGGTGGGCGAACTCCTCGTTTTAGAGGGTACTCACCTCTTTACTGTACTTAGATGGCTTCTCGCGTATTCGCTCTGTTAATTGGCATCGACGATTACAAATCCGGAAGAATTTGGAACCTCGAAGCGTGCGCTCACGATGCGCAGCGCATGAAACAGTGGCTCATGCAAGATCTCCAAGTACCCAAAGAGAACATCGCGCTTCTCCTCAACCAAGAAGGCACCAAACGTCGTATTGAAGATACGTTTATGAGCCATCTTGTTAACAATCCTGCCATTGCAAAAGGCGACGCGTTGATTGTATATTTTGCTGGCCATGGAAGCACCTTGCGCGCACCACCAGACTGGTGCGAGGGCAAGCTTGGTAGCGTCCAGGTTTTGTGTCCGTACGACCATGATACGAAAGGACCAGAAGGACGTGTAGCAGGCATATCTGACCGCTCACTCTTCGCGATGCTAGCAGAACTCAGCCTCATCAAAGGTGATAACATCACTCTCATCCTCGACTGCTGTTTCCCCAAGGCACAGCTTGGCTCAAGTGCTAGAGACCGCCGCTTCGTCCGCTATACGCCCACCTTGAAGGCCACACCCGAAGACTTATTCTTGGGCTTATGGCGAGGCGCCGTCGGGCGGAGCTTTAGAGGAGAATCCGGCTTCTTCCAGGACGACTGCCAGAGTCACGTCCTCCTTGCCGCCTGCCGGCCAGGCGAGAAAGCACTCGAATGGAAGGAAGGAGGGAAATTCACCTCAGAGCTTCTGACTGTGAAAGACGTACTCCCTTTCCATCAGATGAAATATTCTGATTTATCAGAGCACCTTGCAAAAGGCTTGACTCACATTCAGCAGCACCCAGTCTGCGTTGGCAGACGCAAGGACCGAGTTTTCTTGAATGGTGTCCCCTTCGTTGCTGATGCCTCCCTTGTTCCCATCAACGGCGAAAAGGACCGCCTTCGTCTGGAAATGGGAGCCATGCATGGCGTTGTTGAGGGCACCGAATTCAGCGTTCACGAGCACAATCGCTTCGGTTCTATCAATCCGTCACTTGACAGCTTCCGCGTGTATGAAGTTCACCCTACGTGGTCACTCGCCAGGCGCAAGAGTATGAACAAACCTGGGGGTCGTGGTTCATGGGCACGCATTACTCGATGGAATAGCCGCACTCCTTTCCGAGTTTACGTCAAGAGGACGTGCTCTTCTATTCTCAGGCGCCTCTTCATTCGCAACAAGAATTCGGAAGCAGAACTGGACGGCATTCCTGTAAAGGAAGGGTTGAATATTGTGCAAGTCGAGACATCTGCTAAGGCGGACATGTCGGTCGGCGTTCACACCCGAGACGTACGGGTCCAAAATCTTGATCACCTCGTTCCTCCCACCGCCCACCCACTTATACGCATAGAGAAAGATAGGTCCAGATCTGGTGTCATCCTCAGCGAAGCCGCACGCTTCCACATGCACCTCCACCGAACCAATCCCGCCAAACCGTTCCACGAATCACTGGGCATGGAAATCTTCCGGGTCGACCCTCACACCCAGCGACGGGTTGGCCCAAACCTGTTGGTTGATGGAACGGCTGCAATATCCCATAGTGAGGGTGCACGCTATGCTGTAGTCCTCCACAATCACTCAGATACAGATCTCTGGCCATATTTGGCCTATATGGATTCCAACGGAGTCGACATCCAGCTACTTTACCACCCTCAGCCATCGCACCCTACACCACCACTGCGGAAGCGCAGCTATCTTGACATAGGCTGCACGGGCAGTGGTATCACTCCTTTGAATTTCCCTTTCCCTGATAACCAACACCAAGAATCCGCTTTTTTAAAGCTCTTCGTCTCTACTTCGTACACCTCGATGGGTTTATTAGAGCAGAGCTCTTCGGCGTATAGCCGTCCACCCACACCTGTCCCGCCCCCTACTCCCATAGTGGAATCGAAAGATCAACCACAAAACTGGGACACTGCGCTCGTCTGCGTCATCATGAGAAGGACAAGGGTAAGGGCGAAGAGCTAAGTATGAATCATAACTCCTTTTGTCCTACATCACGAATTGAAAGGTTATCGGAGCGGGCTTCAAGTTGGCATGCAGTATTTAGGTCGTTTATTAATTTTTATAGTGCTACAAACAGGCTATCTATGGCTTTATATATCGTAATAAGTAGTAGTGGATACGGAATTTTTGAAGGAATAATTCCGAATGCTAGCGCTGAGCGCTGTAGCCGATTATTAATTTGTGATGTTTGTTTATCGCGGAACGCTTCTCAGGAGCTACACAGCCACTGTAGCAAAGGTTCGCCATGCTTGAAGCAAGAACAGTGATACCTAACAGAACCACACGGTGAACACGAGGTTGTCTATTCCCCTGACTCAACGTTTTATGGAGCCAGAAAACCCACCTGAACCCTCTCAAGACTCCGTCAGTTTACTCAAACGACTGGCTGGTCCCTCGTCCACGAAAGCCGGGTTTGTCACCTCCAAATAATACTTGCACCTTCAAAAATATTTGACAGCTTGTAGCCTCACTCATGACCAAACTGCAATCAATCGCATAATTGCCGAGGCTTCGAAGGGCTCCAAGTTCTATGAGGCAAGCCCACGTCATTCAAGCCACCCCCCAATCACTCAGAAAGACGTTTAGAATGAAAAGCGCAAAGACAAAGAATTATCGGAACGCATTGCCAAAATACTGAAGCAACGTGACGAAGCCCTGCAGGGCGTCGATATACGTGCGTGAATCAGTCCGCCTCAAGTCAACGTTGGATTCGATGCTTTACCAGGTCCAATTGAGCGAAACACCGATCACCTCGTGAGCAGCAATTACAACTCAGGGAGTGCATTAAGACAAGCCACATTGTAGCTCGAAGAACTCGAATCACAGCGCGACTTGAGTCAAATCGTGGTACATGTTGACATGGATGCATTTTACTGCAGCGTTGAGCTACTCGATGACCCATCACTGCAAGGGAAGCCATTTGCCGTGAGCTTGCAATCTCATATCAGTACCGTGCTGTATAGTGAACTACGTTTCCTTAGGTTGGAGGCGGGGTGCTCTCCACCGCTTCCTACGAGGCGCGTAAATTCGGTGCGCGCTCCGGGATGGCGAGTCCGTCTAAGTTTTCTGTATTTCATTGCACCATTCTCACTGCAGTCCTTTTTAGCATTTGTCGCCAAGAAGCTCTGCCCCGACCTCATTCTTCTGAAATCCAATTTCGAACGTTATTCGGAAATGTCTGACAAAGTTATGGACATTTTCGAGAGATATGATCCTACTATGCTCGCGGCAGGATGCGATGAAGGGTACTTGAAGTGAGTCATAGTAGCCATATTTGAGTTGGTCGGCGCTAAATATCTGTTTACTCAGCATCACAAAGTATTGCGAGGAACATATGGTGGATGCGGATACCTGTGTACAAGAAATTCGTGACACTGTCTTCAGAGAGACATCGTTGACAGTGAGCGCTGGGATTGCTCCGAACAAGGTGTGTGTGTGTCTTTTCTTTTCAACGAAGCCGTACTAATCTACGGTCCTCAGATGCTAGCGAAGGTCGTTTGAGACAATTAATTCGGTTTTATTCTTGATTGAACTTTTGTGCTGTTTAGATATGCTCGGACAAGGTTCTAAGAACGTCATGAAACTAGGTGTTAGCACTGATTTTTGCTACAGAACAAGCCGAATGGCCAGTATCATCTGCCGTTCGACCGCGCTTCCATCAAAGCTTTCATGCACGATCTCTCAATCCGCAAGGTGCCCGGGGTAGGACGTGTCAACGAGCGTCTTCTTGAGGCTCTAGGCATCAAGGTCAGTGGGAATAATGCTGCGTTGAATATGCACTGATTTCCCATAGACATGTGGTGATATCTTCAAGCATAGAGCAACGCTGCAATTAATGGACAAGCAGTTTGGCCTGGTATTCCTACTGAGAACATATCTCGGTATCGCATCCAATGTCGTACAACCCATTCAACGAGAGGAGAAGAAAAGCATCGGTGCAGAAAGGCAAGCCATATCGCTCTCGTCAGCGTCGCACTCCAACGACTATTTAGGACCTTTCACGCATTAAGCAACAAGACACAGATCCTGAGAAAATTGGAAGAGGTGGCAGGGGAACTTGAAGACGACATGGTCAGAGGGGGCTGGACAGGGAAAACTGTGACCCTCAAGTTTAAGTTGGACACATTCCAAGGTAAGCCACAGTTTGCGCAACATTTGGGCATGTCATTTCCTACTTACGTTTTGCAGTCTTTACACGAGCAAAGTCATTTGACCGTTGGGTTAGTTCGAAGAAGGAAGACCTTTTTGCAGTGAGTGAAGGACCAAGAACTCCCTTTTACAATGCTCACGTCGCGGTACATCAGATTGGGAAAGAATTGTTGCTTCCGGAGTTGCCCCTCACACTCCGACTAATTGGCTTACGAGTCACCAAGCTGAAAGACTTGCATGCCCCAGAGCCGTTAGGAGGCATTAAGCGGGTATGTATTATTATATTCTATCATCAACAATGACAACGAAAAGATTCTACACTGTTCCAGTTCTTTGAACCTGCAAATTCGTCGCCAAGAAAGAGACCGAGACTTGCTAGCAACACGGAAGATTGCAACGACGAGGAACACGACACTGGAGAAGATCACGAATCGATGCCAGGGTTCTACGAAGAAGAAGAAAATGCAGAAGGGCGAGGTTTCGACGCTCCCGATAATGAGGAACAGATTCATATCTCCCATGATTCAAACCCTCCACATCATGAACGACGAATACGACCACCAGTGTCAGCCCCAGGGCCCTCGCGGAGTAGGCCAAGTGATTCACCGTTCTCGGCAACCACGTCAAAACCAATGAGCGCTAGACAAGGGGATCGTGTTCGGCATCAGGACTGCCCTATATGCGGGAAGCTATTGGAGACGGACAACAAAGGGCTGAATGCACATATTGACTTCTGTCTGAGTAGAAATGTCATTATGGAAGCTCAGACTGACGCACAAAGCACTCCGAAGAATCCGAAGAAATCGAAGGATCTCGTACTTTCTTGGCCAAGTAGTGTGAAAGGGAAACGGAAGCAGAAAGGTTAATTGATTCCGCATTCGCAAGAGTTTTCTGGGTCTCATATGTATATCTACCAACGTCCAGAACAAACGGAAAACCCGGCAACCTTACAGTTGCAGTATATCATAATCTGTCACGTTGGAAGGTTTGGCCTGGCATTCTGTGAGCTTAATAGATGTAGACAAGACTTGCAAGCTTGATTGTCAAAGACTACCGTAGTCTAAAAGACGAGGCCGAATTCGATACTTTCCAGCGCAAATGGCAATACCTGTTTGCATATGCGGGCGCTGGTTTTGCCAAAGGTTACCACATGCTAACATTCACCCGTCCGGTAAGTTGTCATGATTTTTTTTGATTGCCTTGATTCCATTCATAGAATGACTGCCCTGCCACCTGCGACTGAAATCAAAGTGCATCACTTGCCTGCGTTTTGAATCAGGGATTCGAATAATTATGGAAAAGGATCTCATCAAGATCGATGCCTGTGCATATAGGCTCTCGTGCACATTACTACTTTATTCCTCCGATTATTGTGCTGATGATGATCTCCTGTTTATGTATTTGGCCCAGCTGCGCACATTTTGTTCTATCTACTACTGTATCAATACATTGCATAGATCCGCGACTTCACATCGTTACTTTCGCATCCATACACTTACCACTGTCTCTTATTTACGTACAGGAATACTGTTCTTTTATGAACCACCAGTAGCCCTTGGTTTGACAACTTGACTTCGCCCCGAGCAAGGGTCAAAAAACTCGCTCCCTATCCTTCAGCTTCAACTTGACAAGTCGCCCCTGAAGCCTGACTTGTCACTTACCAAGACTTTACATCAACGAGTCGGCAAACGATGAGGGCATGTTAACAACAACGAGAAGCGGCGCATTAAGCCAGTGACTGCTAGGCAGGATGGGCGCGAAGGTAACAGACCATCTCCTGAATCATCAGCACCTTCTGTTCCGTCGGCATCTGTTAAAAGCATAAAATTAATAGATTAATCATTTGCAGCCCTGTCAAAGCCCTGCAGGAGGTTACTCACTTCAAAAAAGTGGTTCATCCTTCGGTGCCTATCTTCATCTACCGCTTCCTGACGAGCGATGACATCTACAAAAGGATGCGTACGGCCGAGATCTTGTCTCTGGTGGGAAGAAGAGCTACTAGTATTGGTAGAGGGGGCCGCCCATTCCTCTATAATGCCCCAGCCTTCATGGGAAGAAGAGCTACTAGTATTGGTAGGGGGGGCCGCCCATTCCTCCGTAACGCCCCAGCCTTCATCCTGGTCGCCCGATGTCAAGTCCGTACCAGCGGCAGCACTGGGAACAGACACATCATCTTTACGCCTCCATCCGCGGCGGGCGCGTGAGCCTTCGGAGGTAGAATCTATAAGCAGATCATGATTATGCCTCTAGGTACCGTTCAAGGTGAGGACGTACGTTGTATCTTGTTAAATTTCAACTTTTTGGAAGAACGGGGTGCCATGGGTTCAGATCTAGAGTACTCAGAGGATGATGGGATGCTTGAGAAAGTGTCAGAGCTGCCTCGGAGCCTCTGGAAGATCAGTATAGATGTGGTCGCGTGTCCACAGACCAGGACTCCAGCAGTAGCAGTCCACAATTACGATAAGCAGCCGTATATATTCCGCATACGGAACAGCTTCATATTTCCACTGTGTACGTTGCTAATACAAGAGGACACGAGGACAAGCCATGTTACACTGATGGCCATTGAGTCGGACAAGATAGGAACTCCCGAACCTCCTACTATGGACCGTCATTACTAAGCAACGACAGCGTACAATTAATGTTCTAGGCTATAATGATTATAGATCTGTTCTGAAATCGAGAACTGTGCGAGAGAGTGAGCCTTTGAGAGTAGTCGCAAAGGAAACTGTTTGCGTTTCACTGTCCAACAGGAGCAGTAAGGATGAGAATAAAACGTGATTCGTGGAATACAGTACAGTTGGACTTCGACGAATTGACAATGTAAACTTCGAGCTGAAAACAAATTCTCCCGCTACACACCATCACTACTGGTTGACAAATGCATGCGCTCCTGGAAAGCAATCGCAGTCATGGCCGTTGCTGCATCGGAGTCGGTCACGAGCTTGGCATGATATTCTCGAACGCCGAGGATCAGGCGTGGTCCT